ATACCACAATATGGCAACAAAACATTCATTGGTCATCAAAAAAACTTTATAAACTAAGCTTAAAGTTTTAATAAATCCTAGGCCAACCTACATGGCAACATCTTTTGAAATATCACAATGGGTGGTTTTTAGTCTTATTCCCATGTACTTGATCGATTAAAAATCTCTAAGGCCGACGCCAAAGACGCGTTTCAAGCAAATTCCCACAGGGTACAATAGTACAATTTGAGGCCATTAGAGATAGCCCTCTAAGAAATAGGGTTGGTGAACAATCGATTTTTTTTAATCTTAAAACTATAAATTAATAACAAAAACTAATTTAGAGAAATTTATCAAAATCTTAAGGGTAGAAATGATTAGACTCGTTCTCATTAAATTAGAGAAGTGAAAGAACGAGTGCACTTATGGGCCCCGGTTAAATGTGAAAAACAATGTTCAAATGAAGCATTTATTGAGATCTAACCCAAACGATTCCACAAATTTCACCACTGTAATTCATGAATATACAAAGACTAAAGCCATACAATGTCGTAGCGGTCATCAAACATTTATGATTTTCTATAGTAAATTGATAAGGTCCATTCATTTTGAAGGCTTTGTTTACTATGAGCCTAACGTTATACAAAATTGTAAGAATGAAAAAAGACGTATCATATTTTTCTTCAACAAGAAGCTGGTACCTGTAAAAAATGATCAAAAGTTTTCCTATTGCAAACGAGAGCTTTTTACCTGCATGACCTATGCTGAACCCGACTGTTTAATAAATTACTGTAGAAATACTTTTTTCCGCGTGGTATTAATTTACGCTATGTACGCGGTCACAAATTTTCCGCGGAAATTTGTCCAAGCGTACTTAGTATAAATGTAAGGCATATAGTGACAATCTAGAAAATCGCTTAATTTTCTACCCGTCGATTAGACAAAAATTGAGATTCCGCAGAATTATGACCCCTTGGAAAAAAGTACGTCTACAGTATTTAAAAATCTGATAGTCACGTGAGTTTTGCCCCGAGTAAAAATTCCTGATGACAATGATATTGAATACATATCATTATGACTATTAACTATTAATAAATTGAGAAAAAGGAAGATGAAGATGAACATATCTTGGATTCATTTCAGCGATTTTATATGAATACATACAATCGTTTACAAATGTGTACCAAAAAGAAATATATATACATTGCACATTTATGAAACATACAAATATATCTGCTTTTTGGATGAATTTGTTTTGCAAATTATTGTATTGACTATCTTAAAATAAATTAACATACCCGGGAAAGATATCTTATTGTTAATTGGCATATATCCAAGACTATACACGCGTGTGTCATTCAGGCAAGCAGAACCACTGCTCACTTTGCTTTTACTTTTCATTTAATTTTAGCACTATGTTTAAATTTCCTGTAAAAAAATAGATTTTAAATTTATGTATTCTACTAAAATATACCCCTATTACTGCTACTAGTTCAAACAATAAAAACAAAACTATTCCGACTTGGAATATTTCCATTACTAATAATTTGGAATACATTAAGTATTATATCTATATATACAGTGGGTCCACTACCTTTTTCTTAATATATACAAAACAAAAAAAAAAGTATGTCAAAAGTCTGTAAGCAATCACACTTTAAATATTTGCTCCCAATTCCTATAAAACCGGATTTAGATATACAAACACAAACTATTCATATCAATAAACACATTTTTTTCCTATTGACACTTTAATTTAAACGTACATTTGAACGTACACAAATCTTTCACATAAAATAGAAAAATAGATTCTAATCTTCGAATGAGTAAAAAAAAGTATCACATGTTTTAAAGACTTCAAAAAGTTGGGCGGGGCGCAAATTAAACCGGATCTGAATGTAAACACGATATCTACACCCAAATTAAGTATCTTCCAAATATTATGTTTCTATTTTTGGTAAAAGTAGAATTCTAGAAGTGCACATATCAGTGAAAACGTGCATGCAAAAATAAATGTTGATTAAGACTTTTTATCTACATGTATTATCAAATTCTGGGGGCCGTATGGTACATAAATGTACATTATGCTTTCAATTCACGTTGTGTTATATAATGATATTTTTATGAGAGCACATTTCTTTTCGTAAAACTTGTAATAATTTTTGAAAATATGCAGTGATTTTAGGAATTAAAATTTAATATTTATTTAAATTAAAAAAAAAATGAAAATGTCTATTATTTTATTTTATCTTTTATTAGACAGTTACCAAAAGAGGGAGTTGTTTTTCATTTTTACATTTTTACCTGGCCCCATGATCATGAAAAAGACAGACATAGGTTAAATTTCCATTGGCATGCAGAATGTTTAAAAGTTCTATAAAGTTGTGGTGGGTTGAGTCAGATTCTGAATTTTGGTAGGGTGGTATAACGTAGGTAGGCAATATCGAGGATACAATAGTCTGTGCATAAAGAGCACCAGATGAGCGATTAATAATCAGCATTGTTCCGTCCTTGATGCTGGCAAACAGAGGTACTTTGGATGAAAGTCTCCAGGCGAGGTTCTCGTCTCCCCGCCAGTTTCGTTCACTGAGTTCTGGTCTGATTCTCCATTTTTCGCTTACGCAATTCAAATCTCGAAATATTAACAAAGTGAATATCTGTTGCACTGTACATGTAACCATGAGCTGTCATCAAAGATAATGTAATATTACTTTTTTGAATGCACGTGCGTACATACAGGCCTGTTACAATAATGAACACAAATATCTAAGATTAATGTTGGTATCGACAATTAATTTGAATAAATATGCCTTAAATTAGAGTGAAATTTTCATTAAATAAAATGAATGTTTTGAAAAAAAAAAAAGAAAAACGTACAGAAAAAGAACAGACGAAAAATAACCCCCTTGTAAATTATCTTTATACCTCTGAAAGAAAAACTTCTGCTTCGGATTATGACTAATCGGTGCACTAAAATGACGTAAGCAAAATGTGGTTGGGGTAGACTTATTGATGCAGGACATAGATAAAACATTACAAAAAATCGTATTTGCAAAAACTAATATTTTTTGGCTTTTTAAAAAGAATAAAAATGAACATGCAATAATCATTAAAATTTATCTTGTTTTACCTTTTTTAAAAAAAATCTTGTCAGTAAAATTTAATTAGAGACGATGAATCAGAATGTGGTTGACCAATTCTAACAAACTGGATGATCTCAGTTGGTCTGTTAATAAGAGTAAGTGTGTTGCAAGTGAATCAACTTTTTTTAGTAGTATTCTGGAAATAATATTGCACCGTGATTATATGTGATGGGTTTCGGTGTTGGTAGGGGGTAGCATACATGTATAATGTGATAATCAGTATTCAAGATAAATATTGTAATGTTAAAATTAAAAAGAAATTATGACAGTCAGATCGTAGTAACTCCTTTTCTTGCGATATGTGATCAGTGTTAGCTTCAACTTGTGCGAGGACAATTGTCTGTCGCATCGCTTTGAAACATATTGTATACTTGTAGCCTAAGTTGTTGGTATATTCTCATCAACAAAAAAGTCGTTTATACAATTTCCTTATGACATTATCGTCTTACTGTCAACCGAAAGTTATTTCAAGCCTTTTATTTTTGATTAATTTTTCCTTAAATTGTATTCATGAGCAATGTTTGTAAGTTTGTTGATGCGACCTATTTAGAGCAAAATCGTTACAAGTTATTTAAAACGCCAAGTTAAAGTCAAACCGATACTGTTCAAATATCACATCACATAAATAAAAAGTGTGCTTCCGGTTTTACTATTCGTTAATGACGTAATTACTTTAAAACAACGTTGTTCTAATGACAGCCTCTCTAAGTAATAGTGAAGAATTGTACTGGATATATAACCGATGCTACTGTATTTTGTAATAGGTCAGCTATTTAGGGAATCAACGTCTCATTCATACTCCGTTCATGTATGTTACAGAGGGCTAAAAATATTCAAGGTTGTTTTCATAAAATCACTTCATTTAGGATGAAATTTTACTAAATCCAGAATACTTCAATTTTGTTTGTATTGTAGCCCTCATGAGTCAATAAACAGAAAGGAACGCCAATTATTTCTACATAAGCTAGTTTGGTATGGGGACACACCCTCTTGACAACCTGCTGAATCATCTGTATCCTTGCATTCCTCTCATTCCCAGTCCTCGGAATTCATGAAAAGTTACATATTTAATAAACGTACCTTTAACTTCAAACAGTAACTCGATTTTACAACATACATGTGTGACATATAAACAAACATCATGGCTGTTAGGTATGTGTATCAGTTATTACCTACCCTTGCTTCACATCACTTCCGTTACATTTATCATCTCCTGCAACATGGAACCTCGGTTTATATAGTCTTATTTGAAGGATCGGCCTCCAGGTTCTGCAGTGGGATTCGTACTACGACACAGACCAGTAACTTTTACCGAGTCTCTACAGCAAACACTCCAACGAATGCGTAATACAGGGTCAAAATAAGTTATAAAATGCATTTTGAATAATTATATTTGTGCAGAAATAGTTTGAAATAGTTTGAATAGATTGAATACTCCACAATGAGGGAAAGGGAGATTTTGAGCATTTCTTATTATTTTTCTAGAATTCTGAAAGTTGGTGGAATTTGTTATCCTATATAGCAAACATATCCTTAAAAATTTCTTTGAATTAGAAATTACTTTAACAAAATATATGAGAAAACCAAAACCGTTTGCCGTGGCCTACAATTTGATATTCAGAACTCTCAACGAGGTTTTATCAATAAACAATATATCTGTTTGTATATACACTTGATATGATCTAGTGAATTTGAAGAAAAAAAAACATTACGACGTCTGTCAAATCTCTTTAACAAGGAGAGCGACGCCGATATCCTTGTTTCATCAACTAGTTTATCAATTGCCTTTTCGAAAGAAAATGATATGAGTTGACAATTGTCTTGCAATTCTTCATGATTTTTTCCCATAACTTTGCCAATATTTTCATAACAAAAATAAAGATTTGTTAAATATTTACTTTTAAACAAATATTGACATCTGTATCTTTTTCATAATACTTTTTAAGTAAATAAGGAATTACATTTCATCGTTGAAAGCTACGAAAAAAAGGAAAATAATTTTTGTTTTGGGACGAGCATGTATCAAACTTGGAAACCAGTTTATTCTTTTATCATCTCTGAATAATCAAAGAAAAAGGGGTAGAGGTTCAATGTGAATTCCAGAATAACGATTTACATGAACAATTTATATTGAAGGCATTTTTCTTCTAATTAATTGCTCCTTTTTATATTGTTTTTGAAATTGATCGAAAATTATATAGCCTATGAACAGGATGAAAGTAGTTTTGATTTGAAAGTGCGTTTTACTTTGAAGTCAACATTTATCATCCTGGTGAAATTTTTACAAACAATGATTCTATATTTAAATAAAACAAATGATTAAGCAACAAAATTTTATTGGTTCTTATCCTTGGTAGTACAAAATTTTAGATATACATGAATCAATAATGAAATAAAGAGCATGATGATGATGAACAGTTACCGATCTAAAACACCTACAGACAATGTACATATTAAAACAAATAATAACTTTAAAGAACATTAAGGTATAGTTTAAATACAAATCTTGCCCTGTGTTTTTTCTGAAATTTAGAAGTGACGTAAAAAGCTAAAATTCGTCTTTCTGAACAATTTAACCTCCATGCTGTAAAAACATACAAATGGTTTTTCTAATATGCCCTCCAAAGTGCTAACTGTGAGTCATGAACTTGAATATTTTCTCGACATCAATTTCAGTGGAATTTCTTCCAGAAAACAAATAGTGTTTGCATTTCCCAAAAAGAGTTTGAAATATGTGATTTTTTAAAAGTAGTTTACACTAAATATTCAAAAATTGAAATAAGTAACGGTAGCAAACACAATTTTCCTAAGAAAAAAAGCACAAAAATAAGTCATTTTGAGGCTATTCTGCATGAAATATAGAAATGCAGTAAATTATTGACATCATATTTCCAGGAAGGTCCTCCTATGTATCCTATTATTGAATGATTAAGCATATTCGTTTATTCAACTCATGTGGAAGCCAATTTCATAAATTTCAAGAACATAAAATTTTAGGGCAAACTAAAGCCGAAATTGCACCTTCGTTTTACTAACCAAGAGGTTGGATCAGATTGCAAAATTAAGCACCCCTTTTTTACAGGTTGCTGTTAGTCGTATTTATTGATAGTTCGTCGGTATAGAAACATTAGTTAACAAGAACTTAATCAAACTTAAGGAGGCTAGCTGGTCAACAATTTTTTTTCTCTTAACCACCAGATATAACTTAAATTTTGGAAATGGTATCTTAAGCTGTCAACAATCATTTGGCAAAGAAAAATTTCATAAATTTTTATTTTAACAATTTTTCATTTTATCATATCTTTATATGGAGCTCTTCTTCTAAAGGAGATCAAAATAGTCTAAAAATGGCCACGACCACCAAGCCTCTGTAAGGATTAGAAATGTCTACACTTTTTTATACCTTTTTTTTAAAAAAGAAGTGTGAAATGTAATAGTATAGAGAAATTTGCACAATAAAATGTGAAAAAAAAATGGGCATAAGAATATTCCTTAATCCCTAGGCCCAGAGTGTAGGCCACAATAGAAGATTAAAATTTAACATAAGAATAAAAAGGAATGAATATGAAAAGAAATATTTAGTCATTTAAATTTTGATTTCTTTTTTTAAGTATTTAAGAACAGGCATACTTATGTTATTTAATATCATAAATCATGGCCTATGGGTTTAAGTTTAGGGTACAAAAAGGATTATTTTGATGTACAAGTAAAATGAAAAGAGAAATTATCAGTTTGCTAAAATAGTTCGAAAGTTTGAAAATCTGTTTCTTTTTCGGAGCTAGAATCATTGCCTTGTATTAAAAAAATCTGACAATAGAGATGATAAATTGACATTTTGAAAAAAGTTCTTTAAAAAACATTACATTTAACACACGTTTAATTATACTATAGAAAACAGTATAACTCCTAAATATTTTGCTTTAGGGGAGATGATATAAACAAAAAAAATAAATGGCCTGATTGGTTTATATATTAAAATATAACTCATGTTGATATTTTCAATTTTGACGAAAAAAGTTTGGTTGCCCTTATCTGCCCTTAAAAGGTTTATAATGTTCAATGCTTTAATTCCTAAATACTTTGTTTAAAACGTTTATTATGTTTTATGTCACCTTTTCTTCTAATAGATAATAGATTATAATTATTTGAAAATTATGTTCTACAATAGCAGTTTTTACGAGTAGTATTTAAATATTATCTTAAAGGCAACTTAATTGTGCCTTTTCACTATTTTTCATTTGAATAGTACATGTATTCACCAGCCGGTTCTTGGAAATCATAATCATTAGTCTCAGAAACCGAAATATCATGATTTTTATTTCTCCTTTCTGAATTGAGATTACTGTAGTCGCTTTCTTCCATCAAATTATCAAGATTACCATGGGCGTGGTCGTAGGTGTCATCAACGTCAGGACTTGCTTCCTTTTCATGCAGATGATTGTATACGTCATTATTTACGACATCATTCATCATCGTCCGTTTTCCGCCTTCTTGAACGTTTCTTTTCGTTGGTAAGTCAACGGAATGAGCAAACGGTGACACATTTACAATCTTTCTCTAAAATGAAAATGTTTCAAAGAACTACAATGACATTGTTTACATTGTATGTATTTTTTATATATTTTTAAGGATTAAAGTTTTAAATCAAATGGAATATTTCATATGTCATTCATTCAGAAATCCGATCAAAATTGTTATTGTCATTAATTTTATTTATTTTTTAAATGTTAAGCGTGTTCAATATAAACAGGAAGAGAGATAATAAATCTTCCAATGAAAAGTAATAACGTGCCAATTAAGAAATTTCTGCAAATAGTTTATTTGGATGCATGACTCAACTATGTAGATTGGCACTTGCATACCCACTCAGTTTTTTTTTCGGTCAAGAAGTAAAAATAAATTTTTTTCATCAAACAGAAAAAATGGATATATGTTCTCAGGATTTTTTTTTTTTTTTTTTTTTTTTTTGCATTAAACATATTTACTAATTTTTCTATGGGGAGAATTTTTTTTTCTTTTTTTTTTGGGGGGGGGGGTTAAATCAATTAATTTCTTACCTCATTCGTTCGAGAATTACTCTGGGGTGCATCTATTTCAGCCTCTTCAGATGTGTTGTTATAAAGAGCAATTTTTGGATATTTTCTGTATGAATTTTAAAAAAAATTGTTATTTGATCTGATGCTGAAAAAAAACATGTCCAAATTGAAAAAAAAATTACTGAAACCTCTCTTTAGTTTCCCTGCGGCGTATATGATGATAGATTGTCACTGTGATGACAGTTAGAACAACGCCGAGAATAAGGCCACCAAAAACTGCTCCAGCTGTCAAACCGGCTATGCTATTTTCTGTAATAATATAAGAGATCCTAGGTTATAAAATGTTTGGTTACTTTTTTGAGATTATACAAAACTAAAAATCCAGTTCATTTGAGTGTTCTTGCAATGAGCGAGCAAAACATTTTTGAGTTTATCTGTACTTTGCCCCCATTCCATGTCTCAGTTATTTTTCACTTTTGTTCTTTTTATTCCGTTTTTTTACCTTTAGTAGGATAAACATCAATTTTTTACTAGTTCGACTTAGAGTCTCACTAATATGACGTATTATCTTTTTATTTAGAATGTGTAGAATGTACATGTAGTACGTTCGACGTACTCTACATTTGTATGACTTATCATCTCGAAAATGCTCATATTGTGTATACGACTAACTGTATGTCGTTTATACGACTAAATATCTTACGTGTTCTTCATATTATTTTAAAATTACTAGTTATTATGCCATTCGTATGATTTAATTTCGTGTTGACATGATTTATTATCCCAAAAATTCGAGGAAGCAACTGGCAGCATGACGCTTATTTGAAATTTGACATTTAAAAAAATCTTACATATATATAAAACAAAGAATCAAGTTAAACTCATAAAAATTTATTTTTTTTCTCGGCCGGGTTAACTGACTAAATTGGCATCTGATCCCACCTCTGATGTTTGAAAGTCCGTGTTTCCTCTGCTCCAATTTTGTTTTTGTTTTTGTTTTTGTTTTTTTTTTTTGTTTTGCTTTTGTTTTTTTCGTTTTTTTTTGAGCTTCATTATTGTTCGTTGTCTCTATATATTTCATTAAACCAAAAACTATTGTTACAAATATGATATTAAATATTTCAGTACCTTTCGGATCCTGGAAACGTGCTTGTAAACTACCGTCTGAGGATGCTGCAAACATAAAAATATCTCTATATTGTCATACTTTCAACACGAAATAAAAAATCAACAAGAATAAATTTAAAGAATTATTTTTAAAATTTTTAAATTTTGTTCTTAAAGACCTTCAAATTACATATGTTGCTATAACGACTCAATACTTATATATACGTGTACATTCGACTAAATTGCTAATGCACAAACAAAGAAATTTAATATCCAAATTTTCAAGCTTGTTTATGTTTGTATTTGATATAATTTAGAAATATATTACCAAACTTAAAAAAATTAATGATTGACTTGTACTGATTAACTTACAAAAGACGCATTCTGAATCATTCAGTTGAACATATCCTTGAGTACAGGTACAGGTTTCGTTTTGACATAAAGAACCTGACACATTGGAACACTGCTCATTTCGCTGACACGTTTCATTCAGTTTCAAATTTCCTGATCAGAAAAAAGGAATACATTTAAAAAAATAAGGTAAATTGTTGAGATTTCAAGTGCACAGGTTGAACATAAAAAGTCGAAATATTATTTCAATTGAACCTTAACTCAGAAAGGAAGAACGTACGAAAAACATTTTCGAGAACTATCGATTTATCTAATTCAGTTTTTCAACTATGACTTTAACTTGGGGTTTTCATGTTATTGCCTGTCAAAGATTACAATTCTGCCTTTTTAAAGGACAACAACTTGTATTTACCCTGTAAACATGTGTTTCCGAATCCTATATATCCGGGATTGCAAACACATTCGCCGATTTGTCCTGTTAACATACACGTCTTGGATACATCTGTACACAACTTAGTCGATGTACATAGGTTTTCCGAAATGTCTGCTGCAAAAAGAAATGAATTCAACTGAAAATTAACAAATTATCATTAAGTACATGTACGTAACTTTTTTATTAAAAAAAAACTATATCATTGAAAATATTTCTTCTAAATAAACAATTAGTTGTACATAATTATATTCAGTGTGTAAAATTTTGTAACATTGATTTGTGTTTGATTGATCAATTTTTGTTTAAGCAAATGATGTGTCAGTAAATTTATCCATAGATTTAAATATAACTACACAAAAAGCATTCCGTTTCATTAAATGGAGAATATCCTGGTCTACAGACACATGTACCATCCAGACAAACAGAGCCAAAAGCCACAGAACACTGCTCATTTCGCTTGCACTTTTCATTCAATCTTAAATTGCCTAAAAATAGTAAACGATCCAAAACGTTTATAAATATGTATCAATATCATTTTAAAATAATGATAAATTAGTACAAATTTCGTTGAAGTGTTAATCAATTGATGGTGTATGAAAACATTTTGATAACAATCAGTTCCTAGTGTAACATTATTATATTTCAGGAAAATTATATTAAATTTAGTCCTTACTAACTCATGCTACATTATTTTTATTATTTCTACAAGTTAATTTTTATTATCATTGTTTTACTCATTAATTCCTGCATTTTAGCCAAATGCCTGGTTGCATGTTGCTATTCCAAACACGAGTAAATATGCTCTTGCATGCAAAAACAAACAAACAAACAAAAAAAATGATCATCAAGTGCATGCATTAGATCAATTCATATAATATTTATTATATTCATTTTTTACCCTTGTAACATTCGTTTCCGAACCCTAAATATCCTGGTTTGCACACGCAGACGCCAATAAGCCCCGCCAATAAGCATGTCTTTGTTTGGTCTTCACAATCCATGTCTTTCGTACATAAATCTGCTAAAAGAAATAAATCACCCATGAATAACGCTCACCTATAGAGACATTCACTCCGATATATTTAAAAAAAATCTTATATGGTTTTCCACTATATATTTTCTTCAAAAGAAAAAATGGGAATGTGCCCCAAAAGTAAGTAAGTTAGCAAGCATCCCCCGTCAACCGGTCACTCCCACTGTGTGGTCCTAAATATGACTGGGCACTAGAAGAAAACATTGTGGAAAATTAAATATCAAAATAATGGCCCGATAATCGAAAAAATTAACGTCAGTTGACTGAAAGATTGTGTACTGACAAGGTTATGGTGTTGTCTATAAAATTTGAAAAATGCATTTGCGTATAAAATCAACTGGCAGACATTAATGTGCAAGTAATCATATTAGTATTATTGCCGAAATATAAGGCAAAATGACGATGGAAAAGCTAAAGTCACAACGTTTTCATAATGCTTTGTTTTTTTTATTTCTCGAGTCAACATATGAATGGAAAAACCCAATGTTAGTAATAATAAGTCGTTTTTATAAGTACTCATTTCTGAATGTCGAGTTGGAGGCAAGTATTTTCTTCTCATACATATTTTTTTGAAAAATAAATTTTTGTTCATAAGATCAGAAAAATAGTTTGCAAATAACAGGGCGCAATTGGTACTCATGGAAAATGTTAAATAGTCTTTTGAATAGAAACCGATGCTCAAATCTGCTTTGCATATATTTCTGTGTGGTTGATTTATATGTAGGGAATGTGGATTTTTTAAAGACTGGATGTTGATTTGTACTTTACTGTAGGGTGTGGGATTACATACATATGTCTGGTGCTGAAATCCATGAACATTCTCTTCTTGATCAACCGTACACTCGCGCATTATATTCTTGCAATTGGACATTGAAGAGCCATTTTGCAATAATAGGTTCTCGCGAAAAGTACATGTAAGGAAACTACAAAATCACGATATTTTTTACATAATATTTCTTGAGGGGCCATATTGAAAACAGCCCTTTTGTAACTCCTCCTTTTTCGTAATTTGGAGAATGAGTACTTAGTCTATATATAGCACATACCTGATTTTGTCAAGTTATATTAATTCAATGTTCACAAGTATATGTGTCTTTCGAGAAAAAAAAATTACCTTCTCTTTTGCAAATGATATCTATTGATATATCCTCTCTGTTTGCATATCTACAGCTCGTAGAGATCGTTGTCCAATACTGGTCTGAACGATCCAAATTTATATATATTGTAGTCAGTTGATGCCATTCACCGCTTTTCAGGTTATTCATTTTTATATTGCATCTACGAGGACAATTACTCATTTCTAAAAAATAATTTAAGTTATGTAAGGAAACACTGACTGAAGCCCGTTAAATGCTAAAATTATCCCAGGTTTCCCACTATCGTTGATGTCCCTAGCATAGTCTCCTAACTAGGCAGTGATTCCTTTTATTTTCATTTTACTTGAAAAAACAATCAAAAAATAAATCAAAATACCGTATAATTTCGTTGATTTGAAATACACGAGATATTCCATGTTATTTCCATTGCCTTGCCCCATGATGTCACATTTTACTTAAGAAATAAAGTCCACGTTTTCATGAATGTTGCAGAATAACCTCCGAGGTCGAGAAATGTTGTTTGAAAAATAAAAACAGAGGCGCTAGCCGAGGCTTTTATATTTCAAACAACATTTCGAGACCGAGGAGTTTATTCTGCAGCATTCACGACAACAAGGACTTTATTTCTATTCTTCCACGTATGGTACAAGCGCTAAATTGAGGATTATCGTTTCCTCTATAGAGAAACGAATTAGGTCACCATGTCTCGATTACGCTGTTTCATTTAACACCAGAGGCAAAATTTGTTTGCTTACCTGTGTATAGAATGCAGACGATTTGAGCTTTCGTTACATTAAAAATAGCCTTTTTACAAATTACAAATGTGTTCATAATATGTATTGATAAGTTAAAATGAATATACAATAACAAAATCATGTTCCTGTTTTACTGCTAAAATCACGTTGTTTAATGTGTAGGGAGGTCCGTGGAATAGCCCCGCTTAGCTATAAAAACCGACATTCTTCAGCAACTTGATGCAATTTACAGTGTTTATAATGCAAAAGACGACACATCGATGCCGTCTAAACATGTATTTCATTCTACAGCCAAACATGCATTTGAATTGTTCAGATTTGATACGTGTTTCTGATCTGATAATTTTTTGATGACGTTCGTGATTTATTGGAGAATAATGTCCGGCGGTTTCCTTTGAAGTTTTGAATAATCGTGGTAGAATTTAAAATAATAGTCCCGTAAAAACACGAAACAAATTTAATGATTACAGTCAATTCAGTCAATTATTGTATTGATTGCATGTCTGTATCACATGATGGTGTGTATGTGGCTGTGTCGGTTTCTTGACGTGATTCAGATGGGCTGTTCACGGAAGTAGAGTTCTCGGCCTCGCGAGGTCTCGGTGATAGTGGACAGGGTTGCGCTAGCGACTTTCTTTTGATCAGATTGAAGATATTTTATTATTTATTTTATTTGTAAAAAAAAAACCATCATATCATTTTACTTGGTCAACAATTAAGCAAAACATCTATATATTTTCTTCGGTGTATTTATACGCCACTCAAAAAAATGCAGGTTGACATTGACCTTTCAGTAGTATTTCAATAGAGAAATAGACATACTACAGGTATTACCAAGAAATTAAAAAGATGTATTTTTGTAGTGTTTATCATAGAAAAAACAATTAGAAATGGAAAAATTTATAAAACATGTCTTTTTACATTCATTTACTTTATGGTTAGAGGATTTTTACGAGGAGCGCTGACTTTTACAGTTGACGCTTACTTTTACTCTAGGGCTATGTACGGTAGTTATTTTATGATATTAATATTAAGCTCAACCTTTCATTAAACGAAAACAACGGGTTATTTCAATGCACATATAAGTTGTCCCTCAGGAAAACGACAACAAACCTATCCCCAACTCCCGGTTTTCACATGTTAGTGCCGGGCCTAACACCATACCTATGACAACTAGAAGGGTTTTCTTATGCATTATCAATTCTGTACTTCCGTTCATGATACAAGTTTAAATGTCAAAGTAAACCGTCAACTGAAGAAGTCATTGCTTCTCGTAAAGACAAATATTAAACTTCGTTGATTGCACTTTCTCAACTGATTACCCTACTGATGAAAGCCTTTTTGAATTAACTGAAAATTATCGCTTTGACATTCAAAGAAAACTGAGGGAGTTTAACAATTCTTATGTTTTAAAATAAAACATAAAGATAATTTTTTTTTCTTTGGAAGAGACTTTATATCATGTCACAAGTTAAGAAAAGTGGATAATTTTTAAATTTTTTTCTCCTAAGAACTGATAATTAAGATCTTGTATTCCACTCAAAAAATAATGATTGATTTACCCACATTTACGTATTTTTCAAGGCACAGATATTTTTAACTATTACCTGATTCAAATACGTTTCTTGCCTTTGTTAATGAGAAACGGCACGCGTCTTGAACCATTGCAAAAACGAATGGTGTTTCCAGGCAAACTTCCCTTGAATGAAAATACGCAAAACTGCATTATATGAAATAATTTACTTAATTGTAATACATAATGTAAATGTTAACAATACGATATAATATTGAATTTATGAATAGATAGGAAAAATGCTAGAGAAGCAAAATCAAATAAAATGAACAAAGACATAATCTCAGGATAGTCATCAATTTGTTACAAATTATACTAGTTCAATTGGAGGCAAAAGTAAAAATATGGTCCCTATAGCCGTTGCATCGTTTCAAAACACTTTTATTTCTACTTTTTATTATATTTTTGGCGAGAATAACCGTACTATTTTCAAACTGTTGTTAATGACATACACAATATATTTTTATTGTCTTTTTTCCTTAGATTTGAAGAGTTCCAATACTTAAAAGAACTTATTGTTACATTTTAATGTGTATACATATATGCTGTTGTACACCTCTTTTAAATTTTTTTGGATATCAAAACATCTAGAATATAAGTTTAGTAATTTTTGGTATATTTTTCTTTTAAATATACAAGAATTTTCATCAATTGGTATCGTTTCAAAATCCCTGGTGTTGTTTGCTGTTTTTTTTTTTTTTTTTTTTTTTTTTTTTTTTTGCCTATGGACATCTCATTGTACTTTTTAATTAAGAATATCTTGAAAAATTATCAGTAAGTAAGGTATGTTGCGTGTGTCCTTAAACTCAAATAAAAGTTAAATTTCAGGATAACAATTAGATCTCATCATGGACCTACCAATGTCTTTTAAAAATGTAAGAATTTTGAGTTTAGACAACAAATGTTTCAAACGAGCTCGAGTATGAATAACGAGCTAGATAACTATATATTCATTTCATTTACTCTGTTCATTTTATTGACTGAATCAATCATGAAGTTACATGTTTACGTTATATAATCTATGTAGTAAGTAAGAACTTTGAAACCTTGGTCAGTGTATTCATGTCGGTTGATAAATATACATGCAATCTCTAAAGCTAAAGTGGTAAGCTTTTATATTGTACATTATACTTAACATGCAATATTCTATTTCCTAAACATTTCTGCAACATTTTTTGCATACATACCTATCAATATTGTATGCGAAAGAACCAAATTGAAAAATCATAGAAGTTAAGAACCCTGAAATTCAAAAAAAAATGTTTCAAAATAATCAAAAATATATTTAATCTACTCAATTATCACAGACTCCACACAAAAACAACAGTGAATTTAACGTTTCCTAATTATTTATTTCTTAAGTTTGGCATTTTAATGGCCACGGCTGGTTAAAATCAATTTATGAAAAATACATGTGTACAGTGGGTGCCGACCCAATTGGTTTTTGGCACACCTCCAATAAAAGCAAACAAACAAACAATCAATCAATGAATCAATCAATCAATCAATATTAACTGTACACATGTCAAAGTTTTACAGGATAAGACTGACGTTTAGCTTCAAAGTTCCTGCAGTTGCGTCAGCCTTATGCAACAATCAATATTCATCAATCAGTGTTCAATACGATCAATTAATGTTCAATTAAATCAATGAATGTTCAATTCGCTCAATAATATTCAATTAGATCAATCAATGTTCAAACAATATTCACAAATCAATATTCAGTTCATTCAGATCAATGTATTGTATGCTTATGTTAAGCCAATGAATATTCAAATAAATCAATCAATGTTCAATGTAAATTATATACAAGTTCCTTGTATTCCATTCCAGAATTATCCACGCAATCATGTTCGAGTTGCGCCCTGTTAACAGCGGCGCAAGTCAAGATGATATGTGTTAAGCTAAATTCGCCAAACGTGCATAGGTACTCATTAACTATGCACGCCGCCACCAATGTGGGGGTAGCTTAACACCCTACTCAAATATCCAGCCGTGACCACACCGATACATATCATAATGAATACACATTATTTTGGGAGTTTATAATAGTTGAGAGCCCACTTTTAAAATTTTCAAGGAACAACTTATTACCAGGCGTAGAGAGGTGTACCCCGTCGGGGCGGTAATTGTCAGGACTATCATGGATATTTGACTGCTTAATGTACCCTCCATTGTAATGAAATAGAATATGTTTTGCAATTGCGCTATTCACACGCGCCCTACTTTTTTCGATATCGGGTCTCCCTTCACGTTTCCATGCAATCCTTGTTATCATTTGCGACCAAATTATCTTAGTATGCGGAAGTATCATTTGAATTTTTTTCAAATCACGTTTTATTGCAACTATTAATTCAATGGTCTTCATACGGCCAAGGTCGTTTGCTCCACAATGTAATACCAAGAAATTTGGTGGATCAATGAACGTAAGTAAATGTTTTAAAAGTTTAAAGACACCATTCCAGCGCATTCCTCTTCGACCTTGCCACAATATTTTATGCCTGTCGAAATTAAGGTCAGATGTGAAACCTAATTCGATCGCAGCTAGAAAGGCCCATGAAATTAATGATGACCCGATGATCCAAATATCTTGATAATGTTCTGCAACGAAAAAAGGGATTAGAGTGTCAAGCTGTCGTTCTATTTGACTGCCGGGATCCTAATATATAGACGATAACAATCTGACTTCCACCTTCCTAACATTTTAATTGTTTCGTCATCAACGCCCTGAGAATGAAAGTATGTAGCTGCTCCAATTCTAAAGGAGTGTGATTTATAGTTGCATCTAGATAAACTGAGACGCGCGAGGCATTTACTTAAGACGGAATTAAATTGATATCTAGTTAGTGGTTTACCGCCGAAATTACAAAATAATTGACCAGAAATGCTTGGTCGTTGTTGTAAATACTTGCGCATTAGTAATAGCGGACAGTAAGGACCGCTGATAGCGGGGATAATTAATTGAGTTCCTTTGCCGTACTGGTCAGTCTTTGACCTCCTAAGGTTAACTTCTAAGTAGGATGAAGGCTCATTCATAACGAGATCGTTATTAAGTAATGCTGCGTTTGAATTTCTCGAGCCTACTGTAAATTCCCCGACTCGAAGAAAGCCAAAAAAGGCCAAGGAAAACGCCGCAGAAAAGAGGCTCGCCTCGTAACTCGATGTGCACACAACTTGTAATGTATTAATTAATTTATGGAGGAGCTGAATCGTTATTGGTAAACGTGAGTCTTTGGAGTGTCTCTCTCTCTTCATTCCTTCTACCATTTTCCGAACAATAAAATGTGAAGTATAGTCTGGTAAATCTAAGGTGGAAATCTTAATCCTATGTGATATAGCTGCTAGATATGTTTTGACAGTGCTCACAGCGTAACCTTTGACGGAAAGGAAAGCAACGAAGTTTGTCAATTCCTCAAGCGATGGAGGCCAAGAGTTACGGAGATGGAACTCGGACCTGAACTTAGAAAATAAATCGAGGCCGTTGTTGTATGCCGCTTTAGTGTTTTCTGAAGTGGCCATGTCGATTAATCTAACGGTTTCACTCCTGATATCAGTGAGTGAAATACCGGCGGAATAGGAGTTGACTTTACATCTGCCTTTGGTGCTAGTTCCTGGAATTTGGTCCACTGTCGACGAGACAAAGCATCAGCAATATTATTACATAAACCAGGGATATGTTCTGCTTTATATCTAAAATTATATTTCATTGATAGGTATACTAAATAACGAACAAAGTGCATTACTCTTTTAGATTTTGACGTCTGTTTGTTCAAGATGTATACAAGGGCTGCGTTATCTACTCTAAAAATAACATTTTTTGATCTGAAGTATTCTCCCCACAATGTCATTGCCAGAACTATTGGAACAAGCTCTAAAAAGGTAACATCTCTCAAAATTTCCGTATCCCCCCATGTTGAGGGCCAAGCGAAGTGGGCCCATTTACCGTTTAAATATGCCCCGCACCCTAGGTTCTTACCCCCAGCACTGTCTGTATACAATTGAAGAATATCACTACTTAACCAATCAACATCATTTAAATAGCATATGCCATTGAAGTGGTTCAAAAAATTGAGCCACATGAGCAAATCGTCTTTGATGGATTTTGTTATGCGGATAAAAAGGATGCTGTCTTTGTACGCCAATCATCGCGTCGTAAAACCGGCGATTAAAGGCGCGGGAAGATCGCACTGCTTTGGTGCAAAAGTTTAATTGGCCGACGAGAGATTGCATCTCCTTCAAAGTGACTTTAGATTTATTTGCCATTTCTGTCAACGAGATCTTAAGTTTGATTAGTTTTTCGTTGGGGATGCGGACTTGCCCGAGACATGTGTCAACTTCCAAACCCAGATAAGTTAATTTTGTGACGGGTCCGACAGTTTTATCGATGGCAAGAGGAATTCCCAGTGCTTTACATAACTCCCCAAATTGCCTCATGAGTCTTGAGCAATCGTCAGATTTCGCTGAACCAGCAAACAGGAAGTCGTCAAGATAGTGCGTGACATGTGAGCAAGCAGATTGAGACCTGACGGTCCATTCCAAAAAGGACGCGAATTTCTCAAATGTAGCGCATGAAATAGAACAGCCAAATGGCAAACATTTGTCAATGTAGTATTTACCCTCAAATTTGAAGCCAAGTAAACAAAAATCATCTGGTTGAATTGGTAAAAGTCTAAATGCACTTTTTATGTCCATTTTGCCCAATAAAGCGCCTTTTCCGAGCTGACTTATCATTTCGATAGCGCTATTGAATGATGAGTAGTGTACAGATGAAAGTTCTTTATCAATGAAGTCGTTCACGCTATTGTTATGTGGATATGACAGATGAGTAATTAAACGCCACCCCCCGCTAGATTTTGGCACGACGCCTATTGGAGACACCCTCAGATTCGAAAGTGGTATATTGTAGAAAGGTCCGGCCATGCGACCCATATCAATTTCACTTTGCAATATATTCTGAATTTCATTTGGATGCTGGTTTGCCGAAATTAAATTTTTACACTCCAAGTGAGTGCGTTGGCCTATATAGTGAAGGGGAAATCCAAATTTAAACCCATTTAATAACTCATTGCCCACATCATGGTTTGGATATGACTGTATCAATATTGAGAGTTGATTAATATCTACTGGAGAATGACCGAGGTGCTTTAGCCCCCTGGGGGTAGCGAAATCTATAGTTTGGGGTTTGCCCTGGGCGTGGTTGCTGATTTGGTGATTGAAAACGAAAAGGCTGTTTTTGCATGGGAAAGCGAGGGGCTGGGCTACGAGGACAAGTGGACATTGGGTGGTCAGATGCACACCTGATACAACGATGTGCGTAAATACAATAGGGTTTACTACATGCACCCTTGTAGTTAAAATCAAAACACATGCCTTTTGACGGTTCAACTGTTTTTTGGGGAATGGTAACTGGAGAAGTTACGTATAACATCCAAAGTTCATTGTCGATTTGCCCCCATTCCATAGAACTATTTCTTGCCTTTTTAAGCCTAAATTGCTCGTCATACAATTTCCAGCCTGTGGGAGATCTATAGGAGCCCAGTCTAATCGTGTGCATATATTTCAGTAAGCCAAGTGATTGATCGGGGTGAGCTTCGACGTAAATGCTAGTAAATACAAGGAATGCGTCTGTCCATTTCCCGATATCGGTGATTTTGCTACTTTTGCCTTTTTGCAAAACCAGTTCCCCATCTACTAGGTTAATTTTATTTTTCTTGTCCCTTTCTTCCGTCGTTTCCAACAGAACGCCCAGATCTAAATACTCCCCATTTTGTATTTTTTCGCGGGTTTTGAAAGGGATCGTGCAACCCAATGCATCAGTTATACTAACAATAGGCGTAGGTAAGTAGTCAGACTTACCTATTGAGCTAACCGGCTCGTTGATGCCCTCTTCCGTGCCGTGAATAGTATTATCGTCATTTCCCCCCTTCTTTTTGGTGCGATTTGGTTGCAGCTCTTTCTTTTCTGGTGGACTTTTTTGCAGCAGTAACCACAGTTGCAGATGACTTGCGCTTAGGCATATCTCCAAAGAAGTGTTTTGGAAAAATTTTTGAGAATATTTCCCCAATTAAGCAGTACTCAAATTAAGACGTGTATCTTTGAGGGAGGTTGATAACTGACTGCTCCTATGCTCTGCGCGTATATTGCGCGCGCATTATACCGCGTGGTGCGCTGTGATAAATGGATTTATATCGTATTCACTGCATAAATCCGATTATAGAAGAACACAAAGGAATTTTAATTGACTCATTAAGTAAGCTGTTTTTTCCGTTGTAGTATAGGCTCGCTAAAACAGATACTTGCAGGATTAAAAGCCTTTGTGTTTGCGTATGTTTGTTAAAAAAAAGTAAAACGTAAATATTTTAAGAAACTTATATCCCAAGGTTTTGATTTCTAAATTCTTTATAGTATTTAAGTTCGTTTTTTCAATGCAAATCAAACTCTTTACAATGAAAAAAAAATACTTTTAAATTCCATTAAAGTAGGATTAATCCAGGTACTATATTTTTTTGCGAAAGGTTTTTTCAGAAGCTGGTGGCATATAGAGCTGTTAAACTTTGTGCAGCGATTTTTTTATGATGGCTCTGAAATATCTATTAAATGAATTTTTATTTTATGAATTATTTTAATATAGTGTGACAAATATAGTAAATATATTCGTTAAGTCCAGGAAAAAATTGATCAAATTTTAACATTAAATTTACGTAATGCATAAAAGTTACATCAAAGATTCACACTTCTTTTCTTTTCTAAATATATGATAACTCTGGTCAATCTTCGTTAATTCACAAAGGTTTTCGAATATATAAATAATGTTCTGGCTTGTTAAATATTCAATGCCAGAAAAAGTTATTTTACTGAAAATTAAAACGTTTTGGAAGCAAATTTTGTAATGTTGTTATGAGTAAATATTCATCTTTGATAACATTAATGATCAAAGTTTTGAAAGTAACCACCAGATATGTAGGTGGGAAGTATCATTTATTGTTGGCATCTGGTGAATAAATATACAAGTCAACAGATGGAATTTGCAACCTGGCGTAGCAGGGACACTGTGTATGCAATAGACATCATCTAATTGAGTAATTATCCAATCAGATCGAAGTACACCTTTACTGAAATCTTATCTTGGTCAGAGGAATCTCAATTATTCACTACTTTGTATTAATAGCTGCTGGAAGCACCTAAATTTTTACAAGACTTCATTTTACCCACCCATTTTTATCCTAAAAATTAATTAAAATCAGCTGTCCCAAATCACAAACAAACTGTTTTTTGTGTTGTCCATTTATTATTGCTACATCTATATTCTTTTCTATTTTTCATTTTACAACTCACATATAATATTCTAGTAAAACATGTGTTTCAAATTGAAATTTTATCATTCAACATAGCTCACGGTGTTTCAAATTGTAATCGTTGTACATTATTTTTTACTCATGTTAAATGTATATCTATTATTGTTGGTCTTATTTCGGCAATAAAATGGGAAGATAAGAAAATACTCTTCCTGAGAGAGACTGCTGACCATTATAACCCGGGCCCTCTGTCTTAGGGGCGTCAATTATTCAATGTTTATGTTTATGTGCCTAATTTTTATCATATCTGATAATGTATGTGTAAAGTCTAAAGTAAACGATATTTAGGGATTAAATAATCACATGTACTAATATCGTATATCATTGTTAAGATATTCAACTATTTTTTTAACGGTAAGCTGGTGATATTTTATATCAGACTGCTTAACAAAGGACACATCTCTTCCCCAGCTTGCTTTAACTGGGCAACAGAACAAATATTATTTTCAAACAACTCCTTTTCTTCAATAAAACAATCAACCCAAATAATGACTAAATTTCTGGCAAGTCTTTTCTCTTCATAAACTAAATACAAATTATCATATACTACTGCAAAGAAATTTTCAAGATATACGTTTAACTTCACAGCTGTTTGTTATGAATGTATATGTGTATCAATCACTTTAAATGTTTGAATAAAATGAACCACACCTGAGCAGATTGCAAAATTAGCATAGTTATCAGTATGAAAGTATTATGTTGCATTGCGAACCATAACCATAACCCAGGATTATGTCCCTTAAAATATGAGAAATCAATATTTAAAGCCTGGTCTTGTTTCAGAATGTTAACATGGTGTACTAGAAGTATAAACATTATATCCCTCCGAGATTTTCCCATGTACACAATATTGATTTAGTTGAGGGTACCATACTATGATCGTTAATTCAAATATTATCTTAATTTTTTTCTTTCCAAAAAATACACAGCACGAAATTAGGACTGTTGAAAAAAAATGAAAGTAAGTTTAAAATTGTTGGTAATCCCATTAATTTTTGCAAAATACATGAAACAAAACAGCCTTATTGAAACCTTTCCTTGTTTGAGTCATAAATTTATTTTTTTTATTGTACAATTGCAAAATCAGTTTTCTTTTTGCTTTATCTCTAAAATATAGTGTTAGGAGGTCTGTGGAAATGCCCTGCTTATAATTAGTTATAAAAACCTACATTAGCCAGCTACTTTATGCAATATACAGTGTCTAGGCTTTGAAAGATGACACATCGATGCAGTCTAATATAAATATTTCATTCTACAGTCAAATATTCATTTCAATTGCACAGGTTTGATACGTGTTTCTGATCTGATAATTTTTTTGATGACGTTCGTGATTTATTGGAGAATAAAATCCGCAGGATTTCTTTTATTTCGGCAATAACCGTGATAGAATTCCTAATACTTCATATTATACAAATGCAATGTTTCTTTAGTAAATATCACATGTAGTACATGTAACATTTCAAAATTGAATCTTCACGTGTCATAGGTGTTCCTCACATACATATTTTATACTTCCTTAACATAAGTATGGGTTTATTTTTTTTGTCAGAGACATTTTATTGCCAATATGAGATAAAAGTGCTTTTTTTCGGGGTCCATTTTTCATTTATAGATAAAAAAAGTATATGTCGGGTGCAAACATATTATCTAAATACAGAGAGAGTACTTACATTCGATATACCTTGTCCTTTCCATTTCCACATTATATAGGAAGAGTACAAAATACTTCCTGTTTTTAAACTCCTTATGTGTAACAAACATTGAGGCGATTAAGATGAGATGCTTTTTACATTGTGCCTCTTCTGACGTCCTTATCACTGATATTCAAACAATACGTTTTTAAATGATTATTAATAACAGCTGTTAAGTAGATTCCATTTCGTTCCGGTGTTTATACCCTTAGAATCAATTAAATAGCATAATTACAGGTAATAAATACATAATATATTTTTAAATGTTAAAATATATATCCCACTTTTCTAACCAAATACGAAGACGAAAAAACCTCCTCTTTCATTGCACGAATCAAGCAAAGTCTTCATTTCTCCGCAGGATATTATAACGAGAGAAAAAAAACTTAATTTATTTTAAAAGCAGATCATATTTGAAAAAAAATAGTGATGACTAATAAAGATGAAATTGAACATGTTGAAGGAAACATATACCCGGTACTAAATGAAAACAAATATAAATTATAAAAAATTCGATGAAATTATTGTTTGGCAGCCTTATTTTCTCATTGTATTTCAGATTAAAAGTTACAAAATTGTAGTACTTTAGAAGTTTTTCCCGTATAACTTCCTGTAGAATCGCTACAATGTAGTTTGTTGAGGTGTCTCTAATGGAGTCTTTGCTCAAGGTCATGGAGTAGGGAGTAGATCCTCTGGCGATGTAAGGATCAACTCCTTACTCCACGAATTCCATTGTGGGACGTGGGGACCTGTTCATCGGAAGAGACCGTATAAACCGAGGTCCTGTTCAACAGAAGAATAAAGAATGTTAGAATGAAAAGATCACTCACTGTTCGGAGGCCGATAACGCGGAGTATAGGTCTAAATTGCAACCCTCCACTGGCTATTAAATGGTGTGGTTTCAATACGAGTGAAAAATTCTCGGCGACGCCCAATAAAAAAAACGATAGTAACTTCACTTTAAGGTACATTGATACTCTGATGAGAGGGATAACACTTAATGACATAAATGTTAATTATTCCTTTATAAAGAACTTTATTCGGTAATAACCAATATTTGCCCCCCAAATCAAACTTTGATGGAGATATATTTAATTAACTACTTAAACAGGGGAGTATATGGTGACTTCAAAGCACTCAATATTTTCATAAGTAATGACGCCATATGTACGTAATGACGTCACAAACATGACGTAAATTTCAGTTTTTTATGAGAAAAATGTACATATTTCGTCGATATTTTGAGTAAAAGTCACCGAGCGCATGTGTGTTCAGGATCAATATATTGATTTAATGTGTAGAATGATAATATCAATGAAATATGTCAATATTGTCCCTGAACAAACTTGCGCTCTATAAATTTCAAGGTAAAAGTGTTGAAATTTTGTCAATTTTCTCCTCTTTTTGAAAGAGGATATAAAATCGGACTAGTTTGTGACGTCATAAAAGCAAAAATTGTGAATAAACTACATTGAAACTATAATATGTTCTGTTAATTTATATTTCTCATACAATTTATTAAATTCAGCACATTTCAGGAGGTTTTCAAAATTTGACTTTTGCGGGGGGCAAATATATGCAATATACCGCATATAGTTCTTTGCCAAGTTGAATTGTCTTTTTTGTCCATTTTGCCCCGAAGCTATGATATAATTGTTTGTATTTTACTTATGAAATATATTTCTTTTGGAAAATCATCAAGGTTCAAGCAACTCTTTAAATGAGAGAGCAGAGATATTGTATATACATGTATAACAAGTTTCAAGAATTTGTGACGAATCCTTTTGTATTACTAATTATGATTAATTAATACGATAAAATATGTTCAAAACGAATAAATGGACATCTTAAATTCATAATACTAGATAGTACTTTTATATCGATCAATAAACTTATAATATTCATAAAGGATATGCAACTACTAGATTGTATTACACGTAAATGGTAGACAATGGGCAAGGATGAGCTTTTTATGTATAAAGTCTTTAAAAAGAGTGTCCTTATTATTTACAGAGATTATAGAAATTGTTATGACCCCGGATTTTGAAAACAGATTCAAAATTCTTACCTTGGGTAATTAACTATTTTTGATATCCGTTTATTATTTCTATTATATGCAGCTTTTGAGTAAAAGTGGTATAAGGGGTAGATCAAGGTCATTATTCAAATTGGCATTAGGGAAATTAATATGTATAATCGGGGACAATGGATATATTAAGTATAATGAAAAGAAGGGGATATATAATGGATTCAAGATTGGATTCACTGAATTAATGATCGTATTTTGGGCATTTGCTGTCGACAAAACCTCCATAAAAGAAAATCACTGGTTAAACTAAAGGTACTGTGAGCAATGAGCTCACTAAATGAAACACCCCCCTCCCATATGAATATAACGAACGTGTCTATGTTTTGCTATAGGAAACCCAAATATGTATTGGATCAAAAGGTAAAATAAGAGGTGCACAACGTCAATGTGTTATCAAGATTCTCTGAAAGTATCATCAAATTTCTTTCAGTGATATAAGAGGAGTTGTTAATAAGAGATGGGTACCCAAAAGCGTAACAGACGGACGGACATCCAGATTAATATATACCCTCCCGTCATCATGATATGTGCTGGGAGGCAGTTGAATAGTTATTGCTTTCAATATTTAATAAATAAATGTTTCTTAAGTTTGAATGAAATGTAACACACATTATAAATAAAATAGATATACACTATTCTAAATGCAACGGTGACCATTCTAAAAAATTCTTTAATTATTTTTCAGTGAAAAATAATCACTTGTCTAGCTGATTCTCTGACGTCATAATAATTATCTTCAGATACAGAAACGTCAGATTCCATATATCGTCTCCCAATATTCAGATTGCTGTAGTCACTTTCCTCTATTTCACGATTTATGTTTCCATGGGCGTGGTCATAATTTTCAACAAAATCAGAATTTTCTTCCTTTTCATGCAGATGATTGTAAACGTCATTATTTACGTCAATATTTTCCGGTGAGCCTTTTATATCTTTTTGGACGTTTCCGTTCTTCTGGGAATCATCAGAATGAGCAAAAGGTAGCACATTTACAACTTTTCTCTGAAAAATATTTTTCTTTTTAAAAGTTATCAAATTAAATTTAAAGTGGTAACTGTACGCTTTACAAAATATAAATTGAGTCTAAAAAAAAATAACAGATTCTTGAAAAAAGTATCAGAAATCCAAAATATGAATTTTCTAAAGACAGGTTTGATTTAATGATGCAGTAATCAAAACACGACAGTTTAAATAAATATTTGTTCACTCAATATTCATGTAATAATACTCCGTTCAATTACTTCTGAGAATGTTTTACCAAAACACATTTATGATTTAATATTTTGACACAATGCAAAAGACCAAAGTACCAGCAGAGAGGCTCAAATGGACTTTTACATAATGTGTGTAATAGTGCATACATGTATTTCTTACCTCATTTATACGATGTTCGGTTGGATTGTTTTGAAGCACGTCTGTTTCAGTCTCATAAGTAGCATTATTAAACACTGCAGCCCTCGAATTGTCTCTATAAATCATCAAAAAAAAAAATTGAAGCGTTTCCTCTTTTAAATTTATAGGAATGGGATGTTAGAAATAATACGGTGGCATATTACTGCCCCCTAAATGCAAGATAAATTATGTTCACATGCAACATAGTTATGTAAAATGCAACATATCTATGTCAACATGGAAGTTAATGTTAATGATGTTCATAAGCAAGTTACCAATCTTATAAGAAACCATAATTTACATGTAATAATTAGTAATTTACTTACTAACGCTCATATCTGACATCGTAGATGCAAAATGCATCATAAATTACGTCGACATGCGACTTATTTATGTTAACAAGCAAGATAAATATGTCATTATGCAAGATGAATGTGTGAACATGCCAGATACGTATGCTGATATGCAACTTATTATCTTACATGATAACATAAATATCTTGTATGTTAAAATATAAATGGCATGTAAACATAAATAAGTTCAAGCATATTAACATACATGTAAATAAACTAAATGTTGATATTAATATCTAGCATAAATAAATCGCACAATGACATGAAAAGATCGCATATTGACATAATTAGTCGCAAGCCTAGATAATTATATTTCATATTACATCTGAGATATCAGTTTCGTGCTTCAGTGCAGGATTCAACCCATATAAAAATCAGATTCTCTGAAAAAAAGTTGTTACTTGCATGTGAACATGATTATCTTGCATCTAAACATAATTATCTTAACTTGAATGTTGACATTATAATCTTGCATGTGAACAAAATTTATCTTGCATGTTAGGGGCAGAAATATGCTATATCATAAAATGAAGATTTCAAACACAGAGTAAAGGTTAAATATAGTCACTAAAATATTTTTACTTGGTTTTAAATTTTCCATATCGAATATGTTGATAGATGTTTCCTATTACAATAGTTAGGACAATGCCTAAGATAAGGCCTCCAAAAACAGCTCCAATAGTCACACTGACAGCATTATCGTCTGCAATGAGTAAGGCAATCTAATCAAGGAGGAATGCCACACAAAATTTTTATTTTATAGATCTGTGAGTCAACCTTTTTAAACAATGGTTTCAGCATTGAAAGGCCGACATTAGCTCTCAATTATTTATATGAATTTTTTTTTATACTTTTTTCAAAGAAAATGAAAAAAAATTATTTCCATCCAAATAAAACGTTTTCTTGTAAAAATTTCGCTGTAAATGAATGCATCACATTGATATCTAATAAAATATGTGTAGAAAAGCTGTATCGATATTAATTTTTTTTTAAATTTAAAAAAATTTATGAAAATAAAACATACAATTTGTGAATATTTTTTTAATTTGTGGTTAAAATTTTCTTAAAACCAGTCACAACTGGGGAGAACATGTTCTTTAATCATATTTATAAAAGAAATTGAAAAGAAATAGCCAAATTTTAGAGAAATTATTTTTTTTTTAATTTTGGCCAATCCCGATCAAAATTAAACCGATCCCAACCATAATTGTATATTTATTGGAAAATAAATACATTTCCTCAAGAACACTAGTCTGATTAAGTGTAATAAGGATTTAAGCATTAATGAACCTGACAATAAAATAAATTTCTTCATTGTAAATACACGAAGAGGTAGTAAATTAGCATTTTATTAATTTTGTATTAATTTTGATCGGGTTTGGTCCAAATATTACAAAAATTAATTTCTCTAAAGTTTTTCAATATCATTCCAATTTCTTTTAAAAATATGATTGACAAACATGTTGTCCTCAGTTGTGACTAGTTTTACGGTGATTTCAACCATAGGTTTAAAAAATATTCACAAATAATGAGTTTTATTTTCATAAATATATTTTTTATAAAAAAAATTTAAAAAGTCTAACCAGCCTTTCTTTACAATTTTATTAGATATCAATATGATACATTTATTTACAGCATTACATTTAACTCGAAAACATCTTAGTTGGATGTAATTCATTTTTTTCATTTTCTGTGAAAAAATACAAAAAAATTCATATAAAATAATTGAGAGCTTATATCGACCTTTCAATGCTCAAACCCTTCTTTTAAAAGGATGACTCAAAGATCTATAAAATAAAAAGTTGGTGTGGCATTCCACCTTAATGCATGATGTGTCCATTGTAAGTCCTTTAAAACTATGTAAACTTTATCAGTGAGCAGGAATATTTTATTTTAGCTAAGTACAGTTTCGATAAATTTCCAGTTCATTTTTTTTTAATTTCGATTTTCAGAATTTAATATTTTTAAAAATATATAAATTTGAATAAAAAAATTTATCAAATTCAGCCAACATAGGTAAAACATATAGGTCTATAGTTTTTTCTTCAGCTCAAACGCATGGTAAGTTTAATAATGGAATTTAGAATACCTTTTTGGTCCTGGATAATTGCTTGTGAATTGCCATCTGCGTCTGCTGAAATCATTCAGATATCTTTGAATTATACCAGTAATAATTTGCAACATTAAATAGAAGAGAGTCCTATGAGCACATAGACGTTCACCGGTTTGCGGAACCTTGACATGGCTCTACAAATTTGTAATAAATATATCTGAATTGAAATATCATTGTGACATAATAAGAAAAAGTGTGTTTTTCTACTCTCATATGCTTTCAGTGTATTGTATTTTGAACATTATCTATCTAGATGTGCTAATTTTCATTCTTAACTAAAAAAATAACTAAAAATAAGTTGATTTATTTTTTTTATTGTATGTTGTTAACCTTCCATTCGAGAATGTTTCACTCAACAGATAAACATATATAATCAATGTCTTTATAAGATATATACAATTGATTAAGATAACTTACTTTGAAAACATTCTGAATCATTCAGTGGTACATATCCAGGCCTGCAAACACATGTGCCATTCAGACAAACAGAACCAAATGCCACAGAACACTGCTCATCTCGCTGGCATGTTTCGTTTAGTTTCAAATTCCCTTATTAACAAGAATTATGTTATTTCATTTAATTTGAACTCATTGATTTTTTCTCTAACAATGTGTACAAATAGTCAAAATGTTTTGAACATATCCTTTTTCCAGAGTTTGAAAAAAATGGACAGATATTAACTGTATAGATATATCTTTGCGCTTTGCTTGTACTCACCCTGTAAACATTTATTTTCGAATCCTATATACCCAGGTTTACATATACAGATTCCAATTTGTCCTCTCAATAAACACGTTTTGGATTCCTCTGTACAATTCTGTGTTATTGTACACAGATCTGTGGACATATCTACTGCAATGAAAAAGGCCATTTGAAATATGTTGCATACGAGTAAAAACTGTTCAAAAATTTATTAAGATATTTTCTTTATTCTCCTTTATAATCTACGATCTTTTTTGTGAGAATTATTCTGTTCAACGAGCATGTACAATGATTGACAGCGATTTTTTTACAATAAAAATCTGTGACAATCAAATACTGAATCCAGAGTTACCAGATTAGACGTCAGCTAATGTAAAAGTGGAAAAGCTTTAGTTTGCACGAGTTAAATTTTGCATAACAATGAGGAAAAACTCCGTAACTGTAAAATATTATTCCCGGTTTAAGCACCAGACTTCAATTGAGTAGAATTTAAACAAAAATGAATCTTCTCATCCAAGAAATTATATAATTGTATTTTCGTAACTTTTATTTTCATATACAAATAAGTATGAATTCACATTTAATTTTTTCATGTAATCTGGGGACACCCTTGACCCAAGGTCTATAATTTGGACAAATTTGACAATTTTTATAACTTCACAATTCTGATATGATTACATGAAGATGTTCAATAAGACATAATGGCCTTCCTCCTGTTCGTTTCTTTTAAGAGATAAGAATCTAAAATTTTAATTTAAAAGCTTGAATACCTATTACGGTTCCAGTTTTTTTCCGTCGCGAAGGTCTGAACAAAACTGAAATCTTTTCTGTCTGAATATCTTTGTATTTTGACATGACAATCTTGTATGAGTCTGCTTCTTGGGAAAGTTTTTAATGAATATTCGAACAAATATTCTCAAGTAAAAAAAAAATAGCACATTTTGGTCAACTTACATCAAATGCAATCTACACTTTGCTAGGAAGCTATCGTTTGTTCCATTTTCTGGTCTATGTTTTCCAGACTCAAAACATTACTTTTCTTATTACTTTGTGTTAAGATTTATTGAATTTTCAAAAAAAATGGTCAAATGGTACAATTCATGTTTATTATAGTAATTTACTTCATGAAATATGAAGACAAAAATAGTAACCGGTGTAATTAAAAAGTTCATTAGAACAATAGGGATATCAGCACATTTTGATCAGAATAAACATAGGTTTAAATATCAAAAACTTGATCGGATACCATAACGGAGTAAGCATCCCGTCGACCGGTCACATCTGCCGTGTGATCATACATTTTACAAAGTTAACTAAATAATCTGAAATATATATCCGCGAAGATTAAGAAAAATTAGAATTAGCTAAAATCAATGAGTCAGTTGATAAAGTCTTGTCAAATTTTTTTTAGATGTAAACAACAAAATCTGTAAGCCACATTTGAATCTGTATGATGATAGTAACACTTAGATTTCATCTTTAACATCTTATTATTCTTATAACATCGCAAACTAATTTTTGCAAGTTAATATACTTTATGTTTATGAATATGTTTTTGCTCAATTAAATGTTCATACTTACATATTTCTGAGTTTGTTTTGCAAATAATTTCCAAAGTTCTCTTTTCTTTATATGAGAATCTGCATTCCCTTTCGATCCTCTTGAAATCATCCATAAAGCCCTTGATACTTAAAGCTATAAATGCCAATTGATATTTGGTTTCAGAACTCCATCTTGATTCTCTTTCTTCTAAATTGTTGATTTTTACGAGACATTGTCTAGTGCAGGAACTTGTGTCTGCAAAATTAAGAAAACACTATTAAAATAGACATTATGGTAAAACCGTATATGCAGAATTATTTTGCGATGATTTCATTTTGGTATTATTATCGAGGGTACTGAAACCGCTAAAATTGTATATTGCTAAAAAAATGTGTTTATCTGTATTTATTAAGCTCCTTTAGTGAGCATCTTACAGTCGTGTAAATTATATCTCATTACAAATAAAATACGACTTTTTGAGGACAAACCACTAAATTTTAGTCTTGCTTAAATTTCCACTAATACGGCACCTCATTCTTCATATACTATAAAAAATATCTGATGTAGAAAGACATTTATAATATCACTCTTCAGTCTTGCAAGGTCAAATGATTGGTTGAGTATTTTATGTAAATGATTGTTGTCTTGTCTTATTTTTTAACCTTTTGCACTTCCAAGCAATTTTGTATCGATATTAAGTTGAAAATGCAAATGCAAAAGATATAAGAATAATGTGTTTTGATTTACTCTTGTACGAATGTAATACTGTCATACCTAAATGTTACTCACTCATGTATGAAACTGAGCTTTCTACTGTTTTACAGTTTCGTATAAACAATCCAGTTTATCTTAAAAGGAAAGCTTGAGGTACGATTCTTTTCATACATGTATCGGTAGAGCGCTCCCTCCGTGATCGGGACGTCGTGAGTTCTTATCTCGGCAGCGACTGACCTGGTCGATAGAATAGGTAGCAACTGTTCCTTCGCCATGCGCTCGGCACTTTGAAGAGAAAGTTGCAGGTCCTTCGGATGAAACCTTAAAAACCAAGGCCCCATGTCAGCGGCAGGCGTTGGCACGATAAAGATCCCTCGCTGCTCAATGGCCCCGAGTGCCGAGTAAAGTACAAAATTTGAAACTCTTCACCGGCATACGGTGACGTCTCCATATGAGTGAAACATTCTCGAGAGGGACATCAAACAATATACAATCAATCAATGTATTTAAAAATTAATGAATTTTTAACAGAATCAAAAAGACAATATCACAAAGTGATGGTATCAGTGAGATTAAATTTGACCGTGTTATATTAGAGGAAAGGTCAGTTTAAGGTCATCACCTTTTCCCTGAACATTACAAATAAAAAGAAACACTATTCCCAATCATGTGATCCCTACTTCCATTTCAAAAGATTGAATGCTTTTCTTTTTGCATAAAAATAAACAACCATATAGAGCCTATAACATGACATTACAAAAGTGACATAAATAATTTAACTAAAATGGATATTGGCCAATCCGATTTTTTTCTATTTTTCTTAAAATTTTAGGATATATTAGCCATTTTCATATGCTTCTTATATTTGAATTGTGCTTATTTCACATATGGTACAGTTGACACAAAAAGATACAAATTGATAAAAATACAAAAAAAAATATCGTTTACTAATAATAGAGAAAAAAAAACTTTTTTTTACGCATTTCTGGCTCAAATCTGTACTTAGATTCGAAGCTTTACCAGCTTTTATAGATATTTTTTGTATTGAAAATAATATTTATTTGAGGCTATTTTTTTTATTAGTTGTTTTTCAAGAATTTTTTTTTTTTGAAAAAATAAGGTCTGTTGGTCGAAAAAAAATAAAAAAAGACAGTTGAAAAGTGGTTGTACTAAACAGATTACAAAAGAGTACATTAGGGAACACTAGTATTAAATATTTCAAAAACTTCTACATGCAATTAAACTGCTTTTTGTATGTTATTCTACTTTAGTTTAACATAATTACATATTTTAACAAAAAGATGACTATGTTCTCCTTAGTTTATTAGTAATTTTAATTTTTGATTTGATGTTGTGATTTATCGATCGTTATGATCTTGATCTAATTTAACTTGGAATGGTTCGCTGTTAATGTGAAAAATATTTACGTAATGCAATTAATTTTAATTTTTGATTAATAAAATTTAGTTGATTGCAACAGGGACCTATATACTAAAGGGATAGGCAACTCCTTCATCGCCATGTCTATTTTCCCAAAACATCACGCAAGACACTAGGTCCCTGATTGCAACTAGCCTAACTTGCAACTGCAATTGAAAAGTTTAATTCTCACTTGAATCATATATAAATAGCAGTTTTGATAGAAATTCAAAATAAAAATGAATTCATCATCATGTTTTCTCAGTGAGCATTGCACTTCATGACCTATCTCTTATACGTCTCTGCATTAACAGACAAATGGAGGAAATTCGGATTAGGAAAAAACGATCAATTTTGGAAGTAAACAAGTCAAGTATATTGCAAAATAGATAGGACTGTGGATATTTACGAAGAATAGAAGCATACTGTATTAAAAATTTTCATTTATTGAAGACATCACATTAGATCAGAGAACAATTAATTAACCAGGACAAGCCTTCACCCCAGTCGGTCACATGGACCGTTGGTACAAGATGTACAGTGAATTTCATCTAAGAAATTTCGATTTTCTATCAGTTTTGCCAGTAGGACAAATGGTTTTTGGAAACTCTGTATTGATGACAAGCTCCTTTCCATGGTCTTCACCATTTTTGCAGCATGTGACACATTTTTTTCCCCAAAGATTAGCTTCGTATTTTTCAGCGGCAATTTCAATTGTAAAAAATAAAGCCTAACAAAAATTATATTTTTTTTCAATTTCTCAAATTTTAAGTCGGCGATCTTGAAAAACAACTAATAAAAAAAATGGCCTGATATATTTTGAAACTTTAGTGTAATTTACCTTACATGTGAATTTTTTTAAGTCCTTGATTATGTAAAAAATAAAACTACATTCATTGTTATTTAACAATTTTGAGAGACAGAAAAGAAGATATTTTCATACGCCAACATCCCGCCAAAAATACAGTCCACGTTAGTTTTCAAATTCAGTTTACCATTTCCATTTAAAGTTGTATAATTGTAATGAGTAATGAAAAATATGGCCTTTTAATCTCGTACACCTAAATACATGTATATTAGAAATATGAATAAATATTTTATGAAACCTTTATCTAGTCAAAAACCTGAGAAAAATCCTACCTTAATACATATGCTACTGAAAAGATCATTTACAGTGGTGCAATTAAATATTAATGAATATTAACTTAGAAAATCAGTCTAAAATTTATCTGAGACGTTTTAGTGATTTCTGTGGCAACGTATAAACTTTATAGTCCTTTGACAGCAAAAGTAAGATTTGCCTATTTAATTTAAGCCCCCATCCCTCTTCCACCAACAAAAAATGTTTATTTCTCCCTCAAATAACATCATTTGTTGTAAGTTTCAAACAAGCATATAGATTGACTGGTGAAAAAACATAATTACAGACACAAATAAAAATTTTTTTAAAGTACTGAGATAGATTAAAAGTAGTGTGTCTTTTACCTATTTATTATTATTGAAATATTTCATTCTAACTACTGTTTTATTGTAATCCTTTTCGAAAAAACAAATGTTACAATGATATTATCTTTTTACAATAAACTCAATACTTTTCTGAATGTTTATGATAATGTAATATAGGACAAATTTGCGAAAATTCAGTATGTTAAAAAACGAAAATATTAAACAAAGATGAAATTTTGTAGCATTTACCTACCTTCTCTAAACCACTGTTTAGCTTCTGCCAATGTAAAACTGCATCCTTTATCTCCCAATGCAAAAGCAAAAGACTTTTCAATGCATACCACACTTAAAAGTAAGAAAGACTTCATGTCATTTTTGAATATTATTTTATATGAAGCTGATTTAATCGTCAGTTCAAATTTTGTGTTTTGCTATTAAAAACAAAAAAAAAACCTTCTTGTATCTAAATTATCAAATTTGAGGATATTCATATCGTTCATGACTGTGTCATATTAATACACTACAAAGGAAATATATACTCACAATCAATAGAAACGAGGCACCCTAATTTTAAGATGAAAATTAGGTACGGAATATAATTCTGTATAAAAGATATTAGGACATGTTTCATTTTTCCAAATCAGCTATTGAACGGTTGAATGATTTTCATTCCATTACCAGAAGTTGATTTTTAGCTCTTAAGGAATGCCTTAGCTGTTTCCATTTTCTGTGGTGGCATTCGTTTGTACAGAAATTTTGACTAATTTAAATTCATAGCCATTAGAAATATATCTTTTGGAAGAATGCTTTACCACGTGTGTTGAAAAGTAAAAAAATACAACTTTTTCATTTCATCAATTTTTTTTTTTTAATATTTCTAAGGATAATAACCCCTTCTCGTGTTTCTTCATTCAGGTGTTGTCTTTGTAAAACGGATTCCTTGATATTCACAATTCAAATCTATTTACATGTATAAGGATGTTTAAGAAATCACTGCCTAGTTTTGAAAGTATGCCAGGGCATCAACAATAGTGGGAAACATGGGATAATTTGCATAACGGGCTAAAATTATCCTATGTTTTCCACTATTGTTGATGTCCCTGGCATACTCTCATAACTAGACAGTGATTCCTTATATTTCCATTTCATTGTGAAATAGAATTGTAGACTTAGACAGTAAAAATGTAGACTAATAGATTTAAATTACACGAGGACTCCCATGCCAATTTCAATAGTCCTTGCACATTGACGTCAAACACAAAGGCAGCCGCACGAGATTTACATGCATATTTGGCCTCCTTAGCGTCAGACACAGAGACATATGCGCACGAGATTTGCCTTAGCTGCTGACCTATCGACCTGCCTAATTTACATTCCGGCAGAATTATCAAGAAATTAATTTCCCCAACTTTTAAACAGTTATCACAGAGAAAAAAAAATTATAGAAATGGAAATATATTTATTTTGGAGCTTTTGACAACCGAATGATGTATTTGAACTAGTCTTTACTAACTTATCATTATACTTTATGAGAAAAATTAAAGCAGTATATCATAAAGTTGTTTGTTTTTGTTTTTTTTTTTTTTTGGTAATATTCACAAGTAATGTTTTTAAAAGAAAACTTTAAATAAATAAAGGTTTATTCAAAATAATATTTCTTCACAAGGTATGCTTACCAATATAAACACTGAATATACTGTGCATCTATTCATACTTTATGATTCATATTTTAGATTATCTCACAAAAACACAGTCAGTTAATACTTGTAAAACGTATTTAAAAAACTCAGTAAGTGTATTCCCTTACTAAAATCAGTAAATTCACGTATTTCCTAAGCACAAAAGGAATTTCATGTATTTCCTATAATTCAGGAAATATACAAAATTCCTGATTACACATATTTACAACATGTACATACCTGCTTATGTTGAACGCAGAATATCCATCATGAAAAAGCAAAGAGGTAAGCAACCCTGAAATTTAAAAATTGTTTTTCAATGTTTGCAATATGGAAGACGATAATACCATTTAAGTCAGTTTGCTTGAGGCACCTGCTATCCAACCTCTGGCTCTTCAAGTTCTTAGTAACATTTAAAAATTTATTCAAATAAAAAAGAACAAGGTATCTCTAGTTAAACACAAATCAATATCTGATTATTGCAAGAAAAACAATTAGACATCATATCAAACAATCTCGTGGGCTTTTGAATGAATACGTACTGCACATAATATTATATATATCTTATGTGTCTCAATATTTCTCAACATGATCCTTAGGGGATCTTAGTAATATTGCATAATCTACTTTAAATATCTAGATTACTTTTCAAAAATTCAAAGCATTAGAAGCTTTGATAAGAGACAAGTCTTTGGAAGCTTAAAGATTTAAGGCCTAGATAGATTATCTTAGCCTAAAGTGTTTTTTATAAGTTTAGAGAAGCAATCTTTAAAAAAAGATAATTCAATTTGTTCTACTTAAAATTAGAATTTCATTTTAATTACACACCCCATTGAAATTAATACGTTTCATAATCATAAAGACAATAGAAAAAAGTGCCGACTATACAAATGATAAAGAGATAAATTATAAGAACAAACGTGTGATTTTTTTCAAGAAAAATATCGTGGTAAAAAATTATTTGAACGTAAATAACATAATTATATATGTATTAGTATCATGCATATCATGAGGGTGAAGGGTTTTCTTAAGTTAACTTATTGTAGGTTTTATTTTTAAAGTCCGTCAATTTTAAGTAAATACATGTGGGCAATTTAAATACATGTGGGCGACCGAGCCTGCGGGGTCGCTATCTTTTTCTGTGTCTGAGGTCAATATCCATCGTCATGAGTCCTTATAACCACATATTGACCTCCACTGAAGTCCATAATAGTTATATTATATAATCTCACAAAGTGAATGCACCGACATAAACATTATGACGTCACGTTCTACGTAACTTCAGTGCAACCGAACGGTTTGTCGTGCGATATTATTTTCCGCGGACGTGCTTTCACGTCGCTATCGCAAAAGGAGGAATATCACGTGTCGTTCTTTCGGCCAATGAAAACTACGAAAATAATCTCCTTATATAATATAATATTATATTAACATAAACATAATTATATGTCATGTGAGTTCCTTAAGCTGTACGGATGTAGCAGAAAAAGTAAGAATTTCTGATTTTCTCAACATTTTTCAGAATGTATTTTCTATATGACAGTGTCATCTCAAATCATTGTAGTAATACGTGTATTTCCTTAATCCACACGGCAAGTTTGCCAAAACATTATAAGATAAGAGCAAAATATTTATCTAAAAGCAGAAATAAATAAATATATTTACTTACATTCAATAACATGCTTCCATTTTGTCATTTTCTTTCAAAACAAACAACTTCCTTGTGTAAAAATCCTTATACATGTATATAAATGTGGATTAAGTTAAGTATGCCACTTTAAATGGAATTTTCTGAATCATCGCTTGGATTGCTTCAAATACAAGTATCTGTGTTGTTGACTCTCTTAAAGTTGTGAATAGAGATGACGTCTTGGGGTGAAAATTTTTAACAATCTAACTAATATATTTCTGGGTCAAGTAGTCATGTAAAAAAAAATAGCATAAATGTTTATGTAGTGACCATTAAAAAGCAGACGAGGAAATGATTGATTGATTGATAGATTTATTGTATAATGTTTAAAGTCCCTCTTCAGAATATTTCACTGATATGGAGACGTCACCATTGCCGATGAAGGCCTGCAAATTTAGGCCTATGCTCGGCTCTTTTGGCCTTTGAGCAGGGAGGGATCTTTATCGTGCCATATCTAGCCTGCTGTGACACGGGGCCTCGGTTTATACGGTCTCATCCGATGGACCGCCCCATTTAGTCGCCTTTTACGACAAGAAAGGGGGTACTGAGGACCTATTCTAACCCGGATTCCCACGGGAGATGAGAAAATGAATTGCTTATTATTTATAGATAAACACTCGAGGCAACATTGTTGTGCAATTGTACATATGATTAAAGCAACCTTATCTCGTTTTCCAGAATGTAAAATAATTCTTGTGTGCTTAACTGAAATATCAAGCATGAAAAAAATTCATACTGCCATAGGACAGGCATAGTGATTCATAAATAAGACTGTTATTGTTTTAAAATAATGCATACACAAAGTAGATCTATATTTAATGAAGACGCAAAACAATGGATTCTTGTGGTCAGTAGGTAGCCCTTTTTCTAATGAAACAATATAGGCACGAAGCTATATTGTGATGAATTATTCTGAAAAAATGTAATTTATTTAAATTACTTGTACTTTTTATTAAAATGTTATAGCATTGATATTCACTTCTCTTTAGGGATTTAATTTCGTGGTCGGAGAAGTATTGAAAACCAATGTATATGAAATTGCATCTTAAACATGTAACTCAAAAACAACGAATATTAACCTGTGATCAAGCACATATGATACTTTTACATGATTTCAGCATCGACTTTGCATAAAACTTCGATTTCTGATTGTTTTTAATGTTGCTTTCATGCAGATGTTAAATATAATCTCATTTAAACGCCACAAAAAGAACATAACTTAAACTATTTTATAAATTTTACATAAATCTGTACATATATAAGTGAACAAGTAAAGAGATATTTTGAATTGATCAATTATAAATCATAAAAAAACTGTTCCGGTGTTCTTACTTTTGAGGTCTGGTCGATATTCCTCGGACACTGATAAAGTTTATATTTTATTTATTTCAATCAAACAGTTTAATAATTCATATTGCATTCATCATATCTTAGTGAGGAAATGTGTTGCAATTTGTTGCATTTACGTGTTAAAAGAACGACCAGTCAGAAAGCTACAAAAATACATTTACAAATTGAGAGCAGAGGACACACGTGCTCCTGAAACGTCAGAGGTCATAGAAATTTTCAAAATGGTCATGGAAGATAAGAATGAGTACAAATGAAAAAATTGAAAGAAAGAAGGATATGAATGAGGAAATATATGGAATAACAATGAAATGAGGAAGATATACACAATCTTGTCTGAGTTTCATCTGTAAAGATTTCATATTCTTATTTGTATACTGAAATATCAGTTTGATTGTGCAATCTCATAATTAAAAAAAATATTCACATCTTATATTTCTTGCTCCATGAATAGATACATACGTATTAGCATTTTTATTAAAATCTATATACATGTATATATGTAGCTTTTCTTTGTTATACCGATACAACATTCTTTGTGATTTGAGAATCATTCATTTGTAAAATCTTCTCTAGGTACATGTACTTGTAATCCAGATGACTATGATTTTTCATAAATTTACAATAGAGAATACATGACAAATGAAATGTTATTGTTGGTACATGTATTTCAATATTGCTTTGGACTCTTTTAATGTCATATAGTATTTTTATAGAAGCACATGACCTAATTATGTTATTTATTTCAATCATTTGTACATGTATACATGTAACTACTTGAAAATATTGCCGAAATCTTATAATTTGTCCTCAATTAGAATATGTTAAATGCATGTATCAACAAATGCTACTGACTTGTTTGTATACTTTCTTCTTTGGAATGAACACTGAAAAATAAGTTATTTCTCTTGATGAAAGTAAGATTGTGTTTACAAGCATTATAAGACATTTTCAAATATCTAATCCATGATGATAGATCTTTGGAATGTAATGATTTTTCAACTTAAGCAGAAATACCTGATTTTCAATGTGTACAAGTGTGTATTTTCTTGTGAAAAATATTGAACAAGAACACATGTAACTGTTTCATTTAATTAACATATGAAACCTTTTTCATAGGATTCTCATATGCAAATGGCTTGATAAAAATTTAAACTTTTCTTATGAAAATCATATGAAGTTATTTGCTTCATATGATTCACATATGATGCCCTTTTTATGATTCTCATATAAAGGCAATCATATGTTTCAGATACATGTACTATACACATATGTGGATCGTTTGTGGGTAAATTGCCTGTGTACAGAATGTTCCATCTATCTGAACAATAAAAGGGCTTATGGCGGATTAGTCCGTGAGCCACTGGGGGTGGTCGGTACCATTTTGGGTGAATAAACTTTATAGTGATATTTGGTAAGGTATACCCCTTACTAGTGAGAAAATGTATGATAGCATCAAATCTGTTGTGGTTTCCATGCTGGAGACAGATTTATTGTCTTTTACTCGCTCAAATAACGTATTTTGAGCAGAATATATTTGCAACCTGCAAAGTATTTGTCACAAAGTTGCAAACCGTGATAGAAAGTTTTACCAGAGTTACTCCTAGATATGATGAACATATTAAAAGACCATTAACTGAGTTACTAGCCGCGATTCTAATAAAAATGCATAATTGTACCATTTTTATTAAATAGTTACATGTACCTCAAAAATTTGTTTAAAGAAAAAGATAAGTTCCGACGCACATATACTAGTTTAGTTATTAGTCCGTCGATGACGACGTTGGCCAATGTCTCATCTTCGTGGGGGAGGGGGGTGACCTGGACGGTTGGTGCGGAGGTGACTGGTCAAGTCTATCATGAGTTTTTTGACTAGAGCCACGCCCCCTTCTTTGTAAATCTCAGCTGGGATGGTGCTTTGCCGATTGACAGCAGACTAATTGCTTTCTGGATCTCATCCAACGTGGGGACGGCGTCCAGTGACTTGTTGATGGGAACCTGGGCAGTCGGTTGATGGCTTTGTCGTTGATGGTAGTAGGGCGGTTCAAAACGTCATTGAAATGTTCAACCCACCTGTCGAATATTTTTTTCTTCTCTGTGATGAGTGTTAACCGGTCATCACTGAGGAGAAGGGATGAGCCTGATGGAGTTGGCCCATAGACTTCCTAAAGTCCACAGTAAAAGTTCTTCCTAGGTCTGTCATGAGATTCGGCGTAGCGTTGGATCTCGTCAGCTTTGGCATTCAGCCAGGAGTCCTGCATATCCCGAAGCTTTTGCTGTACTATGCCGTGAGCGTTCCTCAGAGCGTCTTCTTGGCTGTGGAGGTTGGATCATCTATATGATCCTTGTAAGCGCAAAGTTTGTCCTCTAGAAGCTGCGTGATCTCGGCACGGTTCTCATCAAACCAGTCTTTGTGTTTTTTTTTTGGTGGAGGGCCCAAGACACTCAAAGGCTGTATTGTGCACTGTATTACATGTACGAAGTGTGTTCCATGCTGCTTCTACGTCATGGTCATCAAGCACGGTGGAGTTGAGGTGTTCTTTTAGGGTGTCAGCAAAGTACTGTGAGGTGGAAGGCAACTTGAACTTACCAAAGTTGAGGCATTTTGAAGCCTTAGTCTCCTGAGGATGTATCCTGAGTTTGATCCAGAAGTTGAAGTTTAGAGACTGTGAGACGGTGATCTGTCCAGAGCTCCGTACCGCACATAGCCTAGGTGAACAAACGAACTGTCTGTCTGTCTCTCTTCCTGACAATGACGTAGTCCTGATCCTTATTTTCTTCGTGTTCTCTTTGTTATTTCGACTGCATGTGCAGGGAACCCATCAGCCGCGATAAACTGGCTAGGGTAGGGTGGAGCAGGCAACGATTGGGATAACTTTTCTAATCTGCTCCTCTTCCCATGGAGGTGAGCAGTGCGTTCCTAAAGAGGGTTGCTCAGTTGCAAAGGTGGCTGTGGAACTTCAACGCTGCTCTAGTCGGTGAAGAGCGACCATTATAGCCTGTGTCGGCTGTGTGCAGGTCCGCGAGAAGCAACTTCCAGTGAACCCGCACCTGTCACCTTCGTTGCTTGCCTGTCGCCAAAGGGCTTTCGGGTGGACGACAGAAGGAATGGAAGATGATTAATGACTTCCGTGACGAGTTTGATTAAAAAGAAGGTCGCAGACCTCACTCTCTCGCCCGCAACCATCTAGATCCAGTGGCAAGACAGATGTAAGGACGTCTGGAGATGAAGAAAGATACAGCGGAAGAGCAAGCCCTCAGTCAACAGGATTTGAGACCCTACAACACTTTGTGTAGAGAGTGCTCGCCTAGAGGGATCTCCCTTAAGAGTGTACGGGTTCCCTCTACCCGGACTAGTGAAGGGAAGGGGCGTCAGGCCATTACAGGTCGTGAGACACAGCCCACTGCCAACAAAGCACATATATGATTGTGCACATATGTTGCCTAATTTTGATGTAAAAAATATATATTACACTTTTAACTTAGATGAACATACAAGTGTTCATTATCACAATGGTTTAGCATGAGATTAAATAAATAATACATTTTAGGTAAAGGCTTTACTTGAGATCTGACATGTTCACAATATCTTTGTTAAAGATAAATACTCGCCTATAAGTCGGTCCGATATAAGTCGGTTGTATTTATTAAAATCTATATCAGAGGGACTGCCCTTATAAAATACCATTCATTTTAAAGCTCGCCTATAAGTCGGACATAGAGATTTGGACAAGAGATTAACTCCCAAAAATCCGACTTATAGGCCAGTATAAATGGTAACACAAACAAACTTTTTCTTCAGAAATCAGCATCATTTCTCATAGATTTACGTTTAAATTGACAATCTGAATAATGTTTACCAAGTAGAGTGGGAGAATTTTATAAGATGTCAAAAAGTTAAAAAAGTGTGCAAAATTTTGTATGGAATTATATAGAACATGTAGAAGGCAAAATAAAATCTCGAATCTAAACATCAAGAAAAACCTACGATTTCTTTATATTTCAGGGAATTGTTATTTATATTTATATCAATACAAATTAAAACCGTTCAAAAATATATATCAACCCGCGCATCCATTTTTTGTTTGTGGTAAGTACCTTTAAGTAAATAAACAATATACGCACAGGGTAAATCAAGGGAATTTTCCTTCAATTTTCATTTTTAGGATAGGGGTAAAGATTTACTATCAAATCAAGTAATATATATTTGTTACTTAAATAATGTTTTGAAATGCTAATACATGATAAAAATTCTATAAATAAAATGACCATGCAATATGTTTTTGGTGTGAAATTTGTCACAGTAGTTACATGTATTTCAAGTAATTTCTTTCCTTTGATCAAAATTTCAAAATTGCGTATTCCACTTTTTTTATCAAGGGTATATTTATATTCCTAAATAACTTAGACGGCTCATTACAGAGCCAATATTGAAAAATGACTGTACAGGGTAATAGCATGGTCTACATTCAAAAGAATTTTCAAGAAAATATCATCCGAAATAAGATAGAAATTGCATATTGAAAAACCAAACTTCTTCTTTAAAAGACACAGCCGAGAGAATGAACAAGTTGGGTTGGTGTATATAAACAGTTGATACACCATTAAAGCCACAATCAATTGAATGCTATCATACATTTTCTGACGGTAGAGATGTATGTCATCCAAAAATTAACTATGAAAATTATTCACCCGAGATGGTACCGATACCGAAAAATTCATGGCCTGGCTCATGGACTAGATGTGACATAATCGTTCCCAGCTCTTCAACTATTTTGTAGCTTTGTTGTATTTAATGAACTTGCAAGCTGTGAGAATCAAATTGGCGTTAGGGCAATCATGAATAATAGATTCAGCATAATTAAAAGAAGGGAATATATAATGATTCATGATGGAAAGATCAGATCAAAATTGGATTCACTTATTTAATGATCGTCATTTGGGCATTTGTTGTCGACACAACCTTTGTTAATATGAAAATCATAACTTAAATTATATATCCTGACTCCACTGAATGTACGCTGTGTAGCAACGGTTTAAGTTACTGTAGTTGATTATTTGAATAAATTATCCAATTTACTTAAGAATGTTGATCTTTCATAACTTATGCCATATGGTCACATCTTAAGCAGACATACATGTAGTCAGAATTTGTTGCCTGTTCGCACTAATGTGGCACAACTAAACAAATCTTGAGCATATAGAGTATTTTTTCTTGCTTAGTCAGAAACACTTTTTAATATACCACTCAAAATGGTTTGCATTGTTTCTGTGTAATATCTGGAAGTAAGAAATTAACAATGGCTGCAAAATCGATTAAATATAACTGACTCTATCTCATAAACAAATTTTTATTTCTGTGATAAAAATAATAGTTCTAATAAGCAGAAGTCAATGAATTCTTCTGGAGGGTTTCTATGTCTGATTTAAACTCACTTTTAACTTGATATTAAGCCGATTTGTTATTCTTCGCAGTAAAAGAAAGAAATTAAATAGAAATATTTCACATACAATGTAGACATTGATTGTTTATTTTTAAAAAAAATAAGAAAGTGAAATAAAAGTAATCATGTCATAACTCATCATATTTAGTGCTGGAAGGCAGTTGAATATTATTCTGTCTTCTTAATTTTTAATAAGGTTTCTAAAGCTTGAAAGGCAAGAAACACCATAAATAAAATAGATATACACTAAGTGCAACGGTGACCTTTCTAAAAAAAAAATTCTTTACTTATTTGTAAGTGAAAAATAATCACTAGCTGATTGTTTGACGTTATAATCATTATCTTCAGATACAGAAACATCAGATGCCATGTGTCGTCTCCCTGTATTGAGATTACTGTAGTCACTCTCCTCCATTGTAAGATTTATGGTTCCATGTGCGTGGTCATAAGTTTCATCAACATCAGGATTTTCCTCTTCCTTTTCATTAAGATGATTGTAAACGTCATTATTTACGTCATTATTTTCCATAATCGAGCTTTTTATATCTTCTTGAACGTTTCTATTCTTCTGTGATTCATCAGAATGAGCAAAAGGTGGTACATTCAAAATTTGTCTCTAAAAAAAAATTGTCTTTTAAAATTTATTTTATCAACTTTTTTGATTGACGAAATATTAAACCTTAAACATAAAATTTAACTTAAAGAGACAAATGAAGTTTATCTAAAATTTTCAATTTTATTTTTTATATGTAGAGAAAACAAAATCAAATAGATTATTGATTCCTCAATAAAGTGTAAAACAAAACAAAATCTTATTCATATGGTAATCAAATGCGACAATTAAGATCAATAATCAGAGTCCGCTGTAAAATATTATATCTGAAAATAGTTTTTTCTTATAATACTGCATTTAAATTTTAGCGGCAGAGATTTCATTACCGATGGTAAATTCATGGTAAGGAAGGGACCTATTTTGAACAGATGCATATGTATTAAGGGATAACTCTATCAAATATCTAGCATAGTTAACATAGTTAACTACATTGAATACGATGATATTGATTTACTATGACTGTTTATTCCGGAACTTTTTTGTAGACTTACAGCCTTAATACATCTTAAATTACATACCAATAATATAATGTTTTGATGAGTTATATACAAATACAAAAAATATTTTATTTTAATATCATAAAACGATTACTTGTAAGCTTAAGAAATAAAATATAACTACCTGAAATCAAAATTATAAATACTTTGACTTGCTATAGTGAAAAATAATTTATTATAGTTAACTATTGTACTTTAAAGAGCAGTATATGTGTTCTCTTCCTACACACATGAAGTGATTTAATACATATTTAAATACCAAAAGAAGACAAATCTTTACGTATACCTGTGTTGGGCTTTTTGACATGGCAGGAAATGCTCATTCCTCCATGGCACCTGATCCTATCCCTAATGTTTTGGAGGTCGTGTTTGCTCAGGCTCCGGGATCGTGAAACATTTCAGGCTTAATTCAAAATCTTCATAGTGTACTTAAATTTTATGGGAGGAAAACTCATCAAATATGAAAAAATATTTTAATTTTGATTCATAAAAATGTTGATATTTACAAATTTTGTTATCAATTCAATTATCATTTTACAAGCAATGGAAAAATTGGCTTAAGTCTAAGTCTGTTTCATGATCCTGGGGTCTGCTCCTATCTTTTATAGTTTTATGGACTTTAAATCTTGAAACTGTTCGTTATCTACTTATTTTTCATTAAACATGTACCAAATTTTGTATTGTTTTTGTTTCAAATACTAAAGACATCTCAAAGTAATGCAGTTTTTTATACCATGTGCGGTATATATGTCAAAGGATCAAAAGTTAATTTGTTGGTCACTACGAGTGCTAAACAAGGTTTACATGGTATTTTCAGCGACTAGTAATTGAATATTAACCATGCTTTCGCAGTTAATGATGTTTTTCAATGAATTTGATTAACACGGATATACAGACTAATAATTTTTGAAGGCGGTGCTTAAAATTACTGCCTTTAACACAATGCGCAAGACCAAAGTACATTTACCAGCATCATTAAGAGTTCCTGTTAGGTTTGGAAAGAGTAAATCGAATGGACTTTTTCAGACTGGTATGTTTAACATAAATTAAAATCTTTCTTACTTCATTTGAAAGATGCTCGGTAGGATTGTTTTGAAGTACACCAGTTTCAGTCTCATAAGTAGCATTATTAAAAACTGCGGTCCTTGAGTATTCTCTATAAAATATAAAAGTTCAGATGTTTTCTTTTTAAAATTTTAAATGCAACTGATTTTAGAAATAAAGTTTTCAAAGACAGTATTAAAGTTGAATATAGCTGCTAGAGTATGTTTTACTTAGTTTTAAATTTTCCATATCGAAGATGATGATACATGTTTCCAATTACAACAGTTAGGACAATGCCTAGGATAAGGCCCCCAAGAACAGACACAACTATCACACTGACTGCAACATCTTCTGAAATGAATAACTCAAAATAAATTTATGATTTGTCCATGGTAAGTCTTTGAAATTATGCTTAAATAATTGTAAGAAAGTTTTTATCAGCGGGCATAAATTGAATTCTAATTACTCATTGTTAGCTTATTGCTATATCACCTTCAACATCCAAAACAATATTTTTTACATTCTATTCCCTATTCACAATTTTGTTTATTTTACTTAACTAAATAGAAGAATTTTCTGTTGATAAAATTATATAGCAATGAAAACCCTCAAAATATACATTTGTGTAGATGTCATTATTGCCCAAATTTGTAACTCTCATATTGAAAATATGCATACTTTCCTGTTCCTTGAAATTTTTTTGAAAGATACCGCCCGATGTCGCTGAAAGTAGTAATATATTCTCCCTTAATTCTTGTAATAATGTGCAGCAAATAATTAAAAAAAGGTTTATGAACACACAAAAAAGAATCACGAGTATTTCAATAAATCAAAATTTATAGAGTCCTAACAGGGTCGTACAAAATCAAAATATACCGTTGAAGCACATTAATGTAATTATTAGAATAATCATTAAATTACTTTTTGAAAAAACATAAATCTTCTTTCTATTCCTACCATAGAATTCAGTTATAATTCTAGTACACACTTTCTCGTTGGACTTCTTGGAAAACAATGTAAAAAAGTACGTATATAATCATTTAATGTCGATGGGAAAATTCCACGAACATGCAATAAACAAGGGATTGCTTGGGCTCAAAATGCATCAGATGGTGAAACGACAAGGTCAATTTATTCAGTACATTCAGTTTGTTAAAGAGACAGTGTTGACGATAGTAAATAATAACTTCAGGACTTTAGCAATCTTATGAATCCTTCTAGTATTGGTATAGTGTTGTAATAGTTCTATTCATTAACTAGAATGACAAACGCATAATGTATCATTCATGAGATCATATTTTGTACTCTTCGCTAAGTCTCTTTTGTCCCAGTTAGCCGACCAAATGCATGTGAGATTTGAAAAGTTTCAGTCATAGAAATAGAAAGAAAGTATCACAATTACAGTTTATTGATTGTAAAGCGATTTATACATTGATTTAAAATAATACTTACATGGAAAACATTCTGAATCATTCAGTGGAACATATCCACGCCGACGAACGCATGTATCATTCTGACAAATCAAGCCTGATACCATTGAACACTGCTCATTTCGCTGGCATGTGTCGTTCAATTTCAAATTTCCTGATAAAAAAGAAAAATAAAACAGCTTTCAATTATATGAATTTACTATATGTGTTAGCTTAACGAGGCCGAGTCTAATTATTTCTGCACTAGGGATTTTGATAATTCTTTGATCTTAATTTTTACTGTTATATTTATTGTTTTAGGATTAAAAAATCGCATGTTTACCACCCCGATTTCTGAATGGGCCATCTCAAATGTTGTCAAACTTTACTATTGGACCCTATGGGAATTTGTTGGAAAATCCCCAAATTATTACATTTTCGCATATTTTTGTATTTCTGCCCTAGGAATTTCTTTTTCATTCATGTAAATGAAAGTAAATGTAAAAAGTCACCAAATTGTGAAATATTAAAAAAGGTTAACCATCTTGATAAGTCTAGGTAGTAATTATTAAGTTTATTTTTTCGAAGCCAAATTCCTTCAAAATTGCCATATCACGGTATAAATACATATCTTTGCTGATGAATTATCGGTGCATACAATTTTTTTTGGCATAAATAGCAATTTTTAGATTGCTAGTATGTTTCTTGGGAAGTTATGTCATCAGTTTTTAGTATAATATACATGGACGTCTTGAACATACAAGCGATATGCGTCATTCTTCAGCGTCATGCATTGCTTACAAAATCCGAAAGTGGAGACGTTGTTAGAGCCATATCAACGTTCTTTTTCCAATAATTGTCTTAAAATCACATTTTCAGATCAGTAGGAGTTACAAATAATGTCAATTTTGTATTAAAATTAAAGTAATTTTCAAAGGTGTACAGCCACACAAATGACTGCATGAAATTAAAAAGCTGCGCAAAGTGATGCGCACTCGAATTAGACCCGGCCTCGTTTAGTATTGTATTACTATTACCCGTCGTTCTTATATCGAGCATATACATGTATTAAAGCTCTATAGTGGTGTCATCAGTACAGTACAACTCGTTTGGTACCAACACGGATATAGTGAATTTTTCCTGTGTCTCCGGCAAAATTCTTGACAAATCTTTGTAAAATTTTACGGTTATACCGAACGCTGATATAACGAATTACGGATAATTACGTGTCCTCGATAACGTCTGTTTTATAAAATCCACGAAAATTGATGAAGCCACAGTAATTTGCCTGTACTCCAGACGCTGTGATAAGACCGATAACATCCAAAAATATAAAAAAGAAATCAATGCTAAAACTTTCTATTATCAATTTTCTCTGTTTATAATAGATTATTTCGTTTTATCTTTATTATGAATTCAGAGTTGCTTTTTTTATATAGACGTAAGAGTATTAAAAAGGTTGTGGCGTGGCAAGTTAAGGTATTCAATCCCTAATAGGAACAAATTCAATGAAATTGAACACATAACTCATATGTAGGCATTGAATACTCAGTTTATTTAGACATATTTCCCATTTATTACTATTAGTATGAAGGATGGGATATGTCCTAATTTATGACCTTGAATTTTGGTAAGAGTCATCTTCCCTTTTTTTTAATTAATTAAAAAAATCAATTAAAATAATGTAGCCGGTAAAAAATCATTTTCAATTGTCATTTTATTTTTAATATTTCAACGCATCTTTCCACCGCAGGATTTATTGATCAATAAATTATTTAAATTTTTATTTTGAAAAAAAAACGCTTTTCCCCATAGACTTCAATGCAATCTTTGTTAATTAATTAATGCTTAATTAATGAAATTTTTAAAACTTTCTCGCGGGCAATCCTTTTCCACTATAAAGTGCTTTAATATAATATCAGTGTATTATGTACTTGACGGACATTTAAGGGTAGGGAATTAGGTCCCATTAGGGATGGAAATCCTTAAATGATGCAATTGACTATTACGAGGAGCAAAAAGACTACTTATAAATATACGGGTTTTTTGTAATATTTTTGTGATAATTTTATTTTGTAATTGTTTTAATCAAATTAAGCCAATGCAATTCTAATTTTGGTGTTCGTAGAATATTGGATATATAGCAGTGTATATATTACAGTGTATTCTACAACGCAGTATATGACAAGGTTTCGTGTGTTCAAGTGTTTTGAATAATAGATGACTTGAATATTTTACATGACTTGTAGTTGATTTCAAAAAAATTTCACATAATGTAAATATATGTATATATCAGCTTAAAAATAAATATTGATAACACTTCAATTTTGTCTTGTTTTTTATTTTTTCAGAGAATTTTGACTTTTATTCCTAAAATTTAAAGCCGAAAGAAACTTTCTGGAAATTTTAACAAATATACGTTATTTATGCCAGGCTTCAAAAAGCAAGACCATGAAGTTTTAAAGACAACATCAGAAAAAAAAAATTTAATTTATTTTTTAACAATAATATTGAATTCAATATAAGATTATATTCCGTAGCATAAAATTATATATCCGCTGAAATTTTTAAAAGGTTTAAAAAAAAATGAAAGTAACGATACCAGATGTCTTCTTTTTCTTCGTTAAAGCGTTATTGTCGAGTATGTGCGAGAACTTTTTTAAGAGCCCTAAAATGTTCTTTACAAAAAAAACAAGAGGCCCACGGGCCTTATAGGTCACCTGAGCATCATGCAACAACTTTGAAATGATTGAAATTGGTTTAAATTTTAAGCTAGATGCTATGGCATTCACAATTTTGAAAGAGGCACCATTGCTAATCATAACTTTACACTTAGCAATTGTTTAGTTTGTTTACTTAATACCCATAAGCAGGGTAGGGGAACAAAAATGTATGTCAACTGATCAGTAATACTGTAAATCACATTTTATTCGCGAGAATTTTATTTTCGCATAATTACGCGAGAAGTGAGCTCGCAAAAATTTCATTCTCGCGTATAATAGCATTCAAGATTATACAGAAGAATAACCACAATTCGTGAAAATTATGTCTCGCTTGTAAAGAATCAGTGACTACTATCTCGCAGAAATAAGGTGTCGCGTAAAAAAAGTGATCTACAATATTCAGCAATAATCAGGAGTGCTCCTACCACACATGAACTCCTGACCCTAGGTCTAGACATTGCACAATTTTTGAAAAGGCACACTTGCTTATCAAAATTACTTAATAAATACCAAGGAGCAGATTTTAAACAATTCATTTTCAGTATATAAGTAGAGCCCCCCCCCCATTTTTGGTATCCCTGACCCAGGGGCCTTGAAATTCACAATTCTGGAGGAGGAGCCAATCATAACTATATAAATAGTTCATCTGCTTATTACCCAGAATTAGAGAAAAAGATTTTAAAAGATTTATTTAATTTACCTATATAATCATTATAGAGTCACACCCTAACACCAGAACTCCTGACCATGGGGACATAAAATTCACAATTTTGGCAGAAACATTCTTGTTCATTATAACTATGTCCTTAATTAGTTTATTAAATACTCAGAAGCAGAGAAGAATATTTTCAAAAATTTAATGCATTTTCACTATGTAATCAATAGAGCCCCGCCCTTACACCAGAACCCCTGACCCTGGGGCCATAAAATTCACATTTTTGGTAGAGGCACTCTTGCTCATCATAACTATGAACTTAATAAGTTTATTTGATACCCAGGAGCAGAGAAGAAAATTTTCAAAGAATTAATGCATTTTCACTATAAAATCAATAGAGCCCCGCCCTAACACCAGAACCCCTGACCCTGGGGCCATAAAATTCACAATTTTGGTAGAGGCACTCCTGCTCATCATAACTATTACTTACAATGTAGTTAGTTTATCTAATACCAAGGAGCAGAGAAGAAGATTTTCAAAGATTTAATGTATTTTCACTATATAATCAATAGAGCGACGCCCTAACACCAGAACCCCTGACCCTGGGGCCATGAATTTCACAATTTTGGTAGATGCACTCTTGCTCATCATGACTATGTACTTAGTTAATTTATTTAATACCTAGGAGCAGAGAAGAGGATTTTAAAGAAATAATGCATTTTCACTATATAATCAATAGAGCGACGCCCTAACACCAGAACCCCTGACCCTGGGGCCATGAATTTCACAATTTATGAAGAGACACTCTTGCTCATCATAACTATGAACTTAGTTTATTTACTACCTAGGAGCAGAGAAGAAGATTTTCAAAGATTTAGTGCATTTTCACTATAAAATCAATAGGGACCCGCCCTAACACCATAACCCCTGACCCTGGGGCCATGAATTTCACAATTTATGTAGAGACACTCTTGCTCATGATAACTATGTACTTAGTTAGTTTATTTAATACCCAGGAGCAGAGAAGAAGATTTTCAAATAATTAATGCATTTTTACTAAATAATCAATAGAGCCCCGCCCTCACACCAGAACCCCTGACCCTGGGGTCATGACAATTTTGGTAGAGGACTTAATGCTGATTACAATCATACAAACAGTTTGACTGCTTGATGTCCAGGAGTAAAGAAGAAGATTTTTAAAGATTGCACTAATTTTAGTGGTTTTTGCCCCACCCCCCTGGCCCGAGGGGGGCAGGGACCACGAAATTCACAATTTTTGTTCTCCTTCGCCCATAGATGCTATATGCTAAAATTGGTTGAAATTGGTTCAGCAGTTTCAGAGAAGAAGCTGAAAATGTTTAAATGCTAACGCACGACGGACGACAGATGACAGACGACGGACGACGACGGATAAAAACAGATAGCAATAGGTCACCTGAGTTTACTCAGGTGACCTAAAAAGTTATTTTTTGTTTTAATTTTTCATTTTCTTTGATAATCTTATCTGATCCTTTTATCGTAGAATAAAATTCTGCAACTTAAACCCAGATAGCATGACCCCGTTGGGCCAACGTTGGTTTTTGGTTGTATGTTTGATAGATGGTTGGCGTTAGGGAACAAATGTAGGCCCAACGTTGGCAAGAAAGCTTAAACAACGGTGTTGGGCTTGTAATGTTGGCCCATTGTAGTAACATGTTGACAAGAAACATAGCGACTTTGTGTTGAATATTAAGATGTTGGTCCAACATAGGTCCAACCGAGTAAATGTTGACATGGATCAAGACCATTGTGTGTTAAGTATGAAATGTTGGCCCAATAGGTCTAACTGAGCACATGTTGACACAAAACGTGGCCACTTTTTGTTGGATGTTCAATGTTGGCCCAACGTTGGTCCAGCTAAATAAATGTTGACAATATAATGATGCATTGCTCTGTGTTGGGCGTGCTGGACTGAACTGGAGTTGGTCCAATATCAATATTGGGATTACATGTACAGGTATCCTGTAATGTTTGAGATGAAATGCTGGTCCAACGTTGGCCCAATATTGCGAAAAGTATTCATCAATTTAGGTTTATCTATTGTAAATCGATGGTAATGTAATAAGCAACTCATTATAAACATGTGATCTATATTATATTGAATGGAAATTATGAGACAATCCTTATATGTCTGCGAATTACATATAGTAATTTTGTATCTTTGTAGATTCTATATTTAGCATCATTGAATCAAATTTAAAGTGCTGTGTTTTGGGCTCCAAAATAAATAGGTCACTGGTAAAATTCACTGGCTCGGCAGGTGACTCATAAGTCTCCAAGGAAACCGGCATCTTAATCAGGTTTTTAAACCGCGCACTTGCACAATTAAAAGACTATGTGTCTGTTTATGTAAAGAAATTTAAACCTTTCAATGTAAGTATTGCTTTTGATATTGAAATAATTAATAATGTGAAATGCACAACGTTGTAATGGCCTGCATGTAGGCTTTCAAATTATTGGTACCTGGGTGCTGATTAAACAATTGTAATTGATGACGATCTGAACTTTAATAGGAATTGGCGGGCTTGGATAAAGCATATATGTCCGGATCTGTAAGTGAACGCAAGAATGTTAACCAGTGAAATGTAAGTAACTATTTTGTATTTGTTATTAATAATTAAAAATGTGAAATTCTTTAAAGGATTGCCTTAAAAATATGCGTGATGCTGATGAACATTTGAAAATACTATTTTAATTGATGGCGATCTTAACGTTTACGGGAATTGCCGGGATAGAAAAACCCGCTTCACTCTGTGACTATTGATGTGGCATTTTCTGTATATGGAAGGGACTGATTTATATGTGTGAGAAACATGGATTCTAAGAACAGATAAACAACAGAAAAAGTGATAAATGATTCAAATATGACCTTCCAAAACTCTACAATTAGAACTTGAAGACTCTTATATCAAAGCGATATTTAGTAGTGGACATAGTGATGTGGAATGTACTTGAGAAACCTTGAACTTTCTACCTCTTCCTTCTTTAAGTTACATTCCAACGATCAAACTGGAGCGGATCAAAGATCTTAATAAGATTGAGGAATTCTTTAATAAAAGTGAAAGTGACAAAGAATATATTGTGAAACACTTTAGGAGGAAAATAGTATTGGACAAAACTAAATTAATTGTGTCGTATAATCTGAAAATAAAACAGAATTTAATTAATTTTGTAAGACATTTGTATTGAGGAATAATTGTGCCAACATTGATATTTCAAGAAACAGCTTTGTATCAACGTTGAACCAACGTGATAACTATATTTTGAACTGAGGTCCAATGTAGGGCCAACGTTAGCATTGGTATGTTGGAATAGCGTTGTACCAACGTTGGCATTTCAACAAAAGCGTTGGACCAACGTCGGACCAACTTCATGATTATATTTTGAACTGAGGTTCAACGTTGGGCCAACGTTACAAAATATTGCGTTGGCGTTGGTATGTTGGAATAACGTTGTGCCAACGTTGACAAATAAACAAACAGTATTGTACCAACATAGGCCCAACATGTTGGGCCAACGGCGCGCCAATGAGCAATAAGACATTGGGCCAACGTAAATTGCCAACATTGGCCCAACATTATCAGCATTGTTGGGCCAATGTCCTCATGCTATCTGGGAAGTACTTACCCTTTAAACATTTATTTTCGAGTCCTATATACCCAGGCCTGCATTTACAGATGCCGATATTCCCCGTCAATGAACATTTCTTGGATTCTTCTGTACAGTTCTGGTTTGATGAACACAAACTTTTTGAGCTGTTTACTGCAATGGAAATGTTGCCCTACATTTTATAGGAAATGTTTTCCTGTTTATTTCTTTCATCTAATCCACGCCTTTTATCCATGTAATGCTATATAGTTTAACATAAAATGTCAATGAAAAAAAACTAAAGAAATATTTCCAAAATTTCTTATGTTAATGGATCATTCAAGTGTGAGTGGTAAGTTAACCCAGTGCTGTTACTACATAAATTATACAAATTCTATATACAGAAAAATTCCGCTGAATCCAGAGTGAGTCAAAGTTTGAGAGAATAATTAAAAAGAAATATTTTTATATCGAATGTTCTTCAGCTGTGTTTGATAATCTGGCGAGTCAGATTAAGAGACATCCCATGGATAAAATTACATGTTGGGATAGGAACAAAAGTTTTCAGCGGAGAGTTTAGTAATAGATATTGCATCTCTTTACATTTACATGTTTTATGGAAAGTAATGTACATAAAATGAAAAGATTACTACTACGTTTAGTTTCAATGTGACCAAAAAAGCTAATGCTGAGGTAATATACGATCGATGATCTCCGCGGCCGTAGAGTGAAAAAGATCAATGTTCATATAAGCTTTTAACTTATTAATACTATTTGTCTATATTTTTTGATTAAAAATTGATCTGTCAGTACTATAAATATTTCTCAATGAAATATGGGAACTTACACTTTTCTAAATTTGTTTTGCAATTAATTTCCATTGTCCTCTCATCTTTTAATGAATCTAACAAACTGCATTTCCTTTCGATTGTCATTATATCCTCGATCAATTCATTGATGCTTAGATCTATAAATTTCAAACGATACTTGGTTTTGAATATCCCTTGTGATTCTTCTAAGTTGTTGATTTTTACGCGACATTTTTTAGGACAAAAACTTGAGTCTGGAAAAAAATAAGAAAACAGCATTTAAGATAATAGGAATGATAATAAATCGTAATACTTTTACTACAAAGAAAAATTCAATTTAACAAAGATACTTTTAGAATGAGGTCTGCTTTGTGACATCATTAAATTTGTTAAGTACTGTATATATTTGACTAGATAGTTTTCCCGAAGAGATAATGCCGCCTCCCTGAATATATTATGCTCCTGTGAGGACGAAAGGTGAAAAAATAAGACTGGAGGGAAACTTTCCCAGTATACAATAATTAACAATATTTTTACACGTAGATTAATTTAAACCAATGAAAAGGAAATTATTTCACTATATTTCAGCAAAGAATGTTAAACTTCAAAGTTAACATAACACTCATGTAAAACGCCATTTTTTGATATAAATGACCTGTTTGTGTCAAAGCAATTCCTACTAAATACTAAATCTTTTGAAATATAAAGCAAAAAATTATTTCTAAATTTTGTTGGTCTATTTAATAACATCTTCTTTACCTGAAACATTCTTTATTTAGGCCTGGAGTGGCTTCCTAACCTGGGGTAAAACTAATTTCATCTGCTTACCTGCTGCTTCTAGCCACTTTTTAGCATCTGTCAACGTAAACTTGCATCCTTCATCTCCCAAGGCAAAATGTAGCAATTTTTCAAGGCACACTTCACTAGAAGGTAAATAATATATTTGTTTCAACAAATTTTAACATTAGCTTAATTTTTGTGTGATTTTCGTTATCAAAACAAAGAACACTTTAAGTTGAAAGCTATTAAAATTAAGCTAAATTCTTTAAAAAAAGAATATTTCATATCAATTAAAAATGACTAATTCTGGAATCTTGCATCTATAATTATTAAAACAAGAGATAAACACAAAATGAAGTGAAAGTGATTTCAATAAGTAGCACAAAATCATTTATCCTCTCCATATACTAGTCTGACAACTGCTAACATATTGCCCGTGTGGCGCAGGATAAGAGGGTGTGTAGCAGAGTAAGGAGTTGACGCTAACGTTGTGGGATCTAATCCCACTGCAAAACGTTGCTACCGGTCCTTCGTGTGAAATTGTGTTAATTAATGTCACGTGCCGCAGTAGGCACTGTCTCATAAAAAAAAAATCATAAAAATATCTCTTACTGTTCAACGGCCCTGAGTGCTGAGTTTATGTTTAACTTTGCTGTGGCGATGGTGGCTGATGAGTAAAAAATTCTCGAAAGGGTCGTTATACAACAAGCAGACAAACAATAGGTAACTTCTAGAAACTTTTCTACCTTCCAGAAACAAGAAAGTTTTTTTTTTCAAAATGTAATTCTTTCTTGGGCAGATTTCACTATCCTTGACCTTTGGATTTTTCAAAATTATTAACACATGTATATGATTTGGATACTCATTCATTATTGATTTCCACACGAGTAAAAGAGAAAAACTAAAAAAAGAAGCATGTTTTAAGAAGTACCTGAGATTGACTTTTCAGAATCAGCAAAATTTAATTTTCAGTAACGTTTGCATGCGTGAGTATTTTTTTTTCAATACGTATTCTAGTCTGATATAACTACAAAATTATTTACATTAGTTTCATTCGGCCATCAACTAAAATACTTTGTATGTACTCTCCCGGACGGACTAAAAATTGTTTGACTCATAGTTTTTGTCAATCTACATAAAAGAGTTAGTCTTTTATTATTTCTTTTTTATTTTTTTTTCATTTCAAAGCTTTCTCATCCAACAACTTACAATTTTAACTTAATATTCAGAAGCGATAAGTGTGTGTTTTTAATCCTCATTATTCAGATTTTTTTCCCTATTGAGCCAGGAGAATATGATAATACTTATCACATACATGTAATTATTATTCATATTACTTTAAAGTATCAGCATTAAATTTCGTATACATACCTGTTTATGTTGTATGCTGAACAACCATAATGCAGAATCAAAGATTTAAGGAACCCTGGAATTTAATACATGTTCTTAAAATATGATTTTATAATGTAATGCATTATGGTTAATAGGTGTTTGAAATCAGACTGCTTAGTAACTTCCTCTCCTAAATCCCTGAAATATACAAAAAAACTTAACTAAAACTATTTTTGTACATATACACGATCTGCATGGCAGTGCATTTGTTGTAATACATTTGCCAATATCTTATTTTTTCAAGTTATTATTGGATATTTCTAAAAACATAGTGGATTACTCAATTGCAAAAAAAATATGTACACCTGACATTACATTGAGCATGTATGAATGTGATCGAATAGCTTTAATGCATCGCTATAAATTCAGAACCTTTTAGATTCAAAGTATAGAATCAGACATATTTATTGCAATTATAATATTTATAGCAAGAAATTCAATTAGGAGAGCGTTCTCAAAGTGTATATATCATATTCTTGGTGAGTTTTTTCTGGAAACAATATAAATAAAAGAAGGGACAAATTAAAATTTTATTAAAGACATTATGGTTTAGTAATAGAAGTCAGGGATTAGGTTTTTTTTGTTTCCTATATAATTTAGTGAAAATAAAACACATACAAAGATATAGTGATCCCTCTTCTACACATCCTCGCAAGCCAGGGGTGCTGAGTCAAGACGTTGCTGTTAAACTCTTGGCATACTAATAATTGTGGGATAACAGTAGCTACGTCTTTCGGAAAAACTACAAAGCTTTCTTACTTCACAATTAATCATGTTAAGCCATTCTATAATAAACAACTTGTAACACGTACATCTAAGGCGCCAACTGAGTCTGACTATTACTGAAAGTTGAAATGTATTGGTATTTTTAATTAGAGAAGCAAAACTACGGATATTTAATGAAATATACCAAAGGTTTAAAGGCAACGTGTTGAATCAGGGCACTGGCATCCGAGGATGTCCTCTATCCATATCTGCAACTTCATAAAGAATTGGTTATAGTTTTAAAACGTTATCTAGAAGCTGATATAAGTACATGTATATTTATAGTTCTACCTCATTATCTTTGCAGAGCACAAAATACTTCCTGTTTTAAAATTCCATATGAATAATTCATTAAATTGATAAAAAATATATGTAGAATGTTACTTTAAAGTTACTTGTATGTCATTTTTTCTGCTAATATAGTGTATTAAATCATTTTACAACTGTGACATGGTAGTTAGTTGGGCTTAGTAAACTGTTTAAAATTACTGCGATATCTATATAACTTGCATCTTAAAAAATGAAATGTTTACAAACATACAATGTGTTGGTATGCCTATATGTTCAAAGTCATAACACTTTGTCTGTGATTGATGAAACATTTATTTAGAGGCATATATAGCTATTGTTTAATTTATCAAGATAACACAAATAAAAAAAATCTCTCTGGTTGTTTATTACTTATTAAAAGAATGAAATTTTGTATAAATTACGTAATTGAAATCAACCACGTTTCGAAATACAAGGACTTAAAAATTAAATTTAAAGACACCACAAAAACAACAAAGTTTAAGATTTATTTAACAATAAAAATTTTAAGATTTATATCGCAGATTTTTTTCTTATTTGAACGCAAAAAACGTTAACCTATATCATATATATGAACACCCAGTCTCTTATTGATGGTAGTCGATCAAAATCAAAGAATTCGCGAAGACTTTTTAATTTAAATGTTTTTGTTTGTTTTATTTGTTTGTGTGTTAAGAAGTTTTACTCATATAAAGACTCTTTGAATAGCCTAAATGTAAGTACATTTATTTAGAGCATAATTTATTAGTAAACGTATTTCGTGTTTCTTTTTAAATTAGTAAAAAATCTGTCAATACAACTGGACGGTATATACTATTATTAAAATGCATATGCTGTATTTATATTAACCATGATAACGTTTTATTAAATATTATCATTAAATGAATACTGTTCGTTATCTCCATATATTCCTGAACTTGTACGGAAGCAGCAAAAAGATACAGATTACATGATTTTCTCAAATTAAACCGAGGTCCCGTGTCACAGTAGGTGTTAGCACAAAAAAGATCCCTCACTGCTCAATGGCCCAAAATGCCGAGTAGAGGACAAAATTTAAAGCTCTACGCTGGCAAATGGAGGAATCTCCATATTATGTAAATATTTTAGATAGGGACATTAAACGGCAAACAAAGAAACAAATCACGTATGTATTTATTTCCATATGTCAGCTCTTAAACGTCTGCAGTATTATGTGTATTCCTCCTACCCACCTGGCAATTTTGTCAAAAATAAAACTTAGTGCAAAACATGTTTCCAAAGGAAAAATAAATTCATTTACTCACATTTAATAACATGTTTCCATTTTGTCATTTTCTCTCAAAACAAACAGCTTCCTGGTTAGAATTTCCTTGTACTTGAATGTGGATTAACTTAAGTGTGCCACTCTAAACATAGAGTACTTGTCTTTTCATTAAGTTTCAAATGCCGCGTGGAATGTTGTCCTTCAAAATACAAGTAGTTGTATTGTTATTGTAGTTGTGAGGGAGATAAAGTCTTTGGGTGATTATTTTTAACTTTCTAAGTATTATTTGACTAGGCCAAGTTGTCGTGTAATAAAAAGATTATGCATAAATGTTTATGTAGTGACCATTAAGAAACAGATAAGGAAATGAATTGCTTATTTTTTATAGATATTTCCATGATAGGTGTGCGTGTTTTTTGTTACTGACAAATCATACTTTGGCATATTTTCAATTTTTCCATGGAATTAAAAAATGTTTAATTTTTATATATATATATATCATTTATTTTCTTAGAAGTTCAACTACCTTTAACGGGATTTTTCCTGTGTGTACCTAGCACGGCCAAAATTGTCTAAGTCATCATAATAGAATCTTTTACAATTCTTTCGAGATTATTTTGTCAAATAGCAGAAAAAGGATGTTTTCAAGAAACTTAAAATTGTTACTATATGCTTGAGCAGCTATTTGCATTTATTTAATATTCTGTATACTTGTCACCTCATTTCTACGTTGCACGGTAGAAATATTCTGATCCTCATCTTTTTTGCAGATTCATAAGTATCTTTAAAACTTGCATCCTTCTGGTATTGCCTTATCAAAATAATGAAAATTGTAACTTGATTTCGAACATCAGGAAAACGTGTCAAAAATGCTAATACACAGAAAGAAAACGTGAGGAAAACGTGTCAAAAAATGCTAATACACAGAAAGAAACTTAGGTGTAATCATTTTTTTAACCAGAAGTCTATGTCGCGACTGTCGCTCTACTGGTTTATACCTATACAGAGGGGAGAAAAATAGCAGTTGGGACTTGAAAATTTACAACAGCAGCCAATAAAATAATGATCATTAATTAAGTCTCTTTTTGTGGCAAGATTGCAATAAGACTACAAATGTAGACGTAGATTTAAATAAAATTGAACATCATTTTCAATTTATCTTACCAGTGGCAATATTAATCGACAAAATAAAAACAAAGCAAAATAGACAATATTACCAGCATAGTTAAAGTTACAAAAAGGGGGCGGAGCCTAATTTGTACGCAAAAAATTATAATTAACTGTGACATCATACAAAATATGAGTCATACAGCAATTCTTAAAATAATGAAAAATATTTTTCTCTGGCAGAAGCTGCAAAATATTGTGATTTCCTAATTTAACCTGTAGGAAACTATCAAACTACATCAAACTTACAACACTATGCCGTTTTGTAGTTAGTTAAATCCCTTAAAACAAGTTATGAACAAGTTATAAAAAAAGTCACTGATCACAATTCAATTGTCAATGTGCAGTCATTTGTAAAACGTGACGTAGTTTGAATGCAGTGAGAGGTAGATCAAGTAACAATTTCTCAACGAAAAACGTATTCTAGAATTTAATAAAATATCATTTACAGATATTCTATAGGCCATTAATTTGGATTCGGTGTCTTCTTCACGATTGTGTCAATATATTTTATATATATTACGTATTCATATGATACTGTCGTACATTTACATGCAAGTACTGTACATCGTCAACTATTGTCCATTAGTTTGGCATTTTTGTGGTGAACGAGAGACAAGAAAAATGGAAAAAAATACAGGAAAGAGCATTGTGGTTTGTTTATGATGACAACAAAAATTCATATAATTATCTTTTGGACAAATAAAAATTACCATGCCTGAAACTCAGGCGTATTAGAACAATGGACTTCAACTCTAGGAGTATTAAGGTATCTGAAGAGTGCTCAGAACCTGATAAGATCTTGAATATAATTTCATTATTAGTACATGTATATCAATATTTCATGCCGTTGACCAGCAATAAATACAGCATTCGGTCATTCAATATTGTTTTAGCAATTAATTGCAGAATTTAAATAGGATCGCAGCACTTTTCAGAAACTACAATGCGTGTCCAAAATATTTATAAACTTAACTTGGAATTTTTATTTTTTATGCCCTTGCACTAGTTTATAATTAACCTCAATACTGCAAGTAAATGTGCTAAAATAACGTGACTGCCGCATTATGTGACAAGTCTAAATATAAAACCTAACCGTCCTCAATATGTAATTGTTAACCATAAAAAATTATCCGATATAAATAATATGCTTAAAATAATCGCAATTCCGATTATGAATGCATTTTTAATTACAAAATATTGTCAATATTTCCATTGCGCACCTTAACTTTACTGTGTTATGTATCTCAGTGTAGTCGACAAACTACCACTTGCATGGCACAGTATACTATAAATTTGAAAGATTCTGAATTGTTTTAGAAGTTAAGATGTTTTTCCTAACACAACAAAGGTAATTTTAATTTCATGAGGTACTGAGTATTCATATCTATAAGCTATCAAATCTATGATAATATCATTAATTTTTTTTTCGTACACTTCATCAAGAATTCATTCAATATCCAAAACTTTTTATTTAAATTTGATTTATGCAAATCAAATAAACTTACACAACCATTTGGAATCATTTAATGATTTATACCCAGGTCCACAGACACATGCGTTTTTCTGACAAATGGAACCAAATACCATGGAACACTGCTCATTTCATTTGCATGTTCCATTCAGTGTCAAAATTCCTGATAAGTACATAAAGAATAAATTGTATATTCTAACTTTCAAAAGAACCAAATGTTTCTTCCCTGTAAGAGCTTTCCTTCATTGAAGGGCCCAAGACGCCGTGAAATACACTAGAAGTCGCCGTATTCGCAGCAATCATATTCGCATTTTTTTTAAACAGTCAACTAGTAGTGTCTACTCTCAGACTGATACACAAAAAGATTTAATATAAGTCATGGCTGTCTAATATTTTTGGTCTCATGATGTGATCTCTTAATCAAGGGGCTTTCGTAATAATTTGCATAAAATGCCGAAGGCGTTTATGCATAAAATTATCACGAAAGCCAATTGATTGATCGACGTCATAAAACCAAAAGTTCTGACACTTATTCCTTGTAGTTAGATTCTTTTTAAATCCACACATTTATGTGCTACAAATCCACTTTCTGTCTCTATTTGCTTCTGTCTCTAGTCCCCCCTCCGCACATGATTTTTTTTTTTGCCTATCCACTGCATGAAAAGTCGCGTTTAATATGATTTAATTAATCCGTTTACTCCAGCAAATTTCTTGTTTTGAATTTTATCTTTGTTTAACAGTACATTTTATATGAAATATATTGTGATATAATTAACTACATTTTTCAAATAAGTATAATCACATTTAATGCAAAATACATTGAGAACAATATAGTTTAATAGAAAAATTATACGTTTAAGAATATCGATATATTAAAGTAAATCTCCCTCCTTGTACTTAAAGTTTAAGTATGTTTTTGGTCATCTACAATGTCATAAATAATTCTTTATTTTTTACAAAATAAAAGATTGTTTACATATTAATTATTAAAAAATATAAAAAAAATTACATTAAAACTTCCGATATATATAGCTTATGTTTGACCTTTATTAACTCTAGAATACTAGTATTTTATATTGATTATAAATATGGTATTGTTAGATTTTTTGAGAAAAAAAAATATTGCGTGGGCCCTGAGGTCCACGCAGTAAATATATAAGCGAGGTTAAACCGGATGCCGTGGGCAAATGTCAGGCTATGCATGCGCGAGAATGCTAGAGAGTTCGCTCTTAAGACAACTTGTCCATAGAATAATTCGCACTATTCAAATTAAAATATATCTCATTCATTGGAAAATCTCGCTTTTAAATCTGCATATCGTCTTTATATAATTATTCATTGGCAGATCCAAATTTCTCTTATACATATACTTTATAAACAAAGGCGTCGGGAGCAAATTGAAAGTGGGGCGGTTAATTGAAAGGGAGTGGGGCTAAACCAACAAAAAAGGTAAACCCCAATTTTTGATGCCTTTATTATGTCTATCTTTACAAAAAAAGTTGCCCCCTCGCTCCCCGATTTTGACGCCTATCCTAAGAATATACAAACTAAAGATTGATAAACTTTAAAAACTAGAGCATTTCGATTAACTCTTTGCCCCTTGCGCAGTCTGTGATGTTATAGTAGCATTACATTTGTTAACGTTTGATGACGTTATCCTTTTCCCCGCAGCGCACTTGCGATTACATGCTGAAAACACGTGGTTTTGAGGATGCATTTACAAGGTGTATAATTAGCAATTGTTGCCGTATATATCGCCTTAATATTTATACAATCATCTGTAAAATGAATTCAAGTATTTTGATGATGATTTAATCCTGTTTATTTTGTTTAAATAATTCTTTTATGTGGACTTTTACAGACTTGATATATTATCATAGTTTCCAAGTAATTTATCATGAATTATAAATCGAAATAGAAAACTTCGTTCAAAATAATTGTTTGAGTTCCATTCAGGGTGTCATTTTTATGCTCCTTTAAAATGACAGACAGCGACACATCCCCCCTTTTTTATTTCTTCAGTCACATGCATTACCATTTTACCGAAACTTGCAGAATCTTTCAATTATAAATTAAACTAGAAATGAGGTCTAGTAGAAAATGATTATCACTTGAGAAAAAAATTATAACAAGTTTTTATATATAAATATTTTTTTAGGACAAAACGGATTTGTAGCTTTCAGCACATTTAACTAGATTTATTTGTTCAAGATGGTTTATTTTTTATTGATAAATATTGTTGGAATATTAAAATATTGCTTAATTTCTATTGAACAATACAATAGCGCATTGTCGATGTAAAATATTTTAATTTTTAAAATACATGTAATAAAATTTAACTGATCACATCTTATTATTAATATTTTGGCTGATATATGGATGAAATACTGCCATGGGACTCGGCATTAAAATAATCAGTCTAAATTAAAAATATATATCTAAACCTTGCTAGCCAAGGGTTTCCGATCCAAAATCTAC